CGCGCGGGGGACATCATCCGAGATGGCGCTCGAACTCGAGCGCGCGCTCGATGGACTCGCGCGCGCGCTCGAGGGGCGCATCGGGGCGCGGGACTTCGCGGAGGCGATCGTGAGTGAGGCGCACGCGATCGCGCGCGCGGAGACGGCGGCGAGCGCGTGGGCGTGGGACGCGCTGGGACGGATCGCGAATGGCGCGAGCGCGCTCGGACGGGACGGAGGCGGGTTCGAGGGGTTTACAGCGACGGAAACGCGGGCGAGCGGAGAGGCGCTGGTGGAGATGGTGGAACGGGTGATGGTGCGCGGCGCGGACGCGGTCGCGGGCGCGGGTGGTGCGGACGCGAGTGGGATGGTGGCGGCGGCGGCGAGGCGCGCGAGCGAGGCGGCGGCGGCGGCGGACGGATCGAGCGCGGGCGTCGTCGCCGCGGGCGTCGTCGCCGCGCTCGCGTTCGCGGCGAGACCCGCCGCGAAGAGTGGTATGGACGAGTGGGCGGCGCTGGCGAGCCGAGAGGGGGAGTTGGAACCGCCCGAGCTTCGACGGTACGATCCGGAGACGACGCGAAAGTACTTTAACAAGAGACCGTGGATTTTACTCAAGCGCGGCTTGCGATCGATCTCGCTCCTCGGGTCGTTCGTGCTCAAGCTCCGGTTAGATCGCAAACTCATGGGCGAGAACGCGAGCGATGAGAAAAAGAAGACGTTGAACACGAAGCGCGCGGCACAGTTGAGAGAGTTGTTGGTGTCGCTCGGGCCGACGTACGTCAAGCTCGGACAGGTATTGAGCAGCCGTGCGGACCTGTTACCGGCGGAGTACATCGAAGAATTGCGCGTTCTTCAAGACAAAGTCCCGCCGTTCGACGACGACTTGGCTCGTAGAATCTTGGAGCGCGAACTTGGAGCCACGGCAGGACGCCTGTCGCTCGGTTCAACGCCCATCGCTAGCGCGAGTCTCGGACAGGTGTACAAGGGCACGTGGAGGAAGGACGACGGCACTTTGGAGGAAGTCGCAGTCAAAGTACAACGCCCAGGAGCGCTCGTGGCCATCAGTCTGGACATCGGGATCATCCGCATGTTCGCAGAGCCGTGGAGACGGTGGAATAACCTGAACTCGGATCTCGAAGGCCTGGTCGACGAATGGGGACGCAGGTTCATCGCGGAGCTCGATTACGATGCTGAAGCAACGAACGGTGAAAAGTTTGCTGAGGCTATGGCAGCGCGTTCTGACTTGGGTGGCGTCGTCACCGCGGCGCCGGTGTTCCGTCAAGCCTCGACCCGCGCCGTCCTCACGACGGGCTGGATCGACGGCGTGCGTTTGCAGGACAGCACGGCGGACGACACCGCGCAGCTCGCTGCGGTTGCCCTCACGTCATATCTCGCCATGCTCTTAGATCTGGGTTTTCTCCACGCCGACCCGCATCCGGGCAACTTGCTTCGCACCAACGACGGCAAGCTGTGCATTCTCGATTGGGGTCTCGTGACGCCAGTGTCGAAGGACTTGTCTACAGCCATTTTGAAGTTCATCGCGCACTTGGTGAGCAAAGACTTTGAAGCCGTTCCAGGCGATTTGGACGCGATGGGTTTCATTCCTTCCGGCAAACGTGAGGCAATGGAGGACTCAGGCGTCGCCCGAGCTCTTGGGTTGTTGTTCTCAGCGCTCGCCCGTGGTGGTGGCGCACAAGGCTTCAGAGAAGAGCTCGGTCTGCCGGACGAAGATCGCATCAAGGAGATTCGCAAAGAGCTGAAGGGTGTAAAGGACCCCAAGAAAAGACGCGACGCCTTCTTGGAGGCGGCAGGGACGGATTCAAAGGTGGCGCAACTCACGAAGGATTTGGAGGGAGTGCAGGAGAAATACGGGAACATCTTCCAGATCCCAGCGTACTTTGGTTACATTCTTCGAGCATTTTCCGTTCTCGAAGGGATCGGCTTGACGGTGGACAAGAATTATTCAATCGCAAACGAATGCTATCCGTACGTCGCTCGTCGACTGTTGACGGACAAGTCTCCTGAGACGCGCAAGGCATTGGAGCAACTGTTATACGGCAAAGAAAGCGGCGAGCACGCTGTTCTGAGCGTCAACCGAGTCCGGCAACTCTCCACCGCTTTTGGGAGCTACACATCCATTACAAGCCGCTCGAATGGTGCCGTAGTGCCAGAGGGATCGTCGACGAAGAAGATCTCCAATAGCACGCGAGAGGCCCTTAAGTTGGCTTTTGATCCCGCGGGTGGACCGATTCAAGATATTGCGTTGCGCGAACTTGGGCGATACGCAGGCGCGCTTGCGGCCACGACGGCTTCTTCTGCCATCGCCGCACCGTTCAGTGCCGCCGAATCTCTAGCAAGATCTTTCGGACCAGCCGCGCAACTTCTCGGCAGTGCTCAGGAGACTCTGGCTCCGTTGGAACGCGTCACGCACGCGTCTGACGAAGACATTGAAACCTTAAGAGTCGTGGATGAACTTCGTAATTTGTTCTCAGGTGTAGACGAACGGAAAGATGAAACTAAAAGTTCGCAGGGCAACGAGCTAATACCGCCAGAAATCGACGTGGAACTCCTGCAGGAGCTCATTGATCTCGCGCCGGAACTGGCGCCAGGGGCGCAGGCTGCGGCGTTCCGATTCGGCTCGGTCTTACTTGACCAGGCCGCTTATCGTGTCGCGCGTACGACACAGTCTAACTAACGCATGACACCCATTTAGTAGTGTATTTTTTATTCAAGCGAACATTTCTGCTTCTCATATTTCAATCTCTCTACATCTTCTCTAAATCCAGCGGATGAAGAACCAAACCATTTTTCGCACCCGAGTCTCGGCCCCAACGCCCAAGTCTCGGTTCCTGTCCCATACCTGCGAGTACAAACCGACCGGTGCTAGCAACTTGGATGGCGTTCACGAAACCGCGGGCGGGAAGGCAGTCAAGAGGGACGAGTGGCTCGCCTTCGTGCGACGTCTTCCACAATCGAATGGCGCCGTCGGCGGCGCCTGAGGCAGCGAAATCCGTTCCCTTACCGACATGCACGGCGCTGACCCAGCTAGCCATATCTCCAACGCCACCGTCGTTTTTAGAGCTGATACCACTAGATACTTGCGCGGCCTCTCGTTGTTCCTGGGCTGTTTTGGCGTCGGTGTCGCTGAATCCTCTCGGTGCGACGACATCTCTAAAGCCGTGCACATTTTCCCACGACTGCGCCGCGCGCTTTCGTTGCGTATTCCAGATGGCCACCGTCCCATCTTGGGACCCGGTGAGCCAGTGATCGTGCGCGGTGAAGGCGCAGCTCTCTGCCTGACCGCCGCCCTGGGGTGGTCGCAGCACCAACTGCGAATCCTCGGGAACTTTCCAAAATCTCGTCGCCCTGTCCGCACCGACAGTCACGAGTCGTTCTCGACGCTGTGTATCCAACCCAATGCACCGCTCCTGATGTCCAAAGAGCGTATCAACGTACGCCATGTCATCAAGAGACCAAATCTTCACGGTGCGATCCTCCGAACAAGAAAAGAGCTGACCTGTGCCGTGGCGAAAGCCGAGTCCCGTGATCGCTCCTCTGTGGCCCGCAAACGCCGTCACGTGAGTCATAGTCCTCGTGTCCCACACGTGTACGCGCTTATCGGCGCCGCCGGTGGCGAACAAGTTCCTATCGCCGCTCACAGCGCAGCACAGCATGACGTGCGAGCCACACTTTGGCGGCGCCTGCGGTCCGCCGCCGCCTTGCAGCGGATCCACCACCACGTCCGGTGTTCTTGGAAATCGTGTTCGCTTCTCCGTCTCGATATCCCACATGAATATGGATCCATCCTTCGAGACGCTGTACGCGGTGCGATCGTCCTCCGTGAGCGCCACGCCCGTGACGGCGCGCTTGTGTCCTCTCCACGTTCCGCTCGCCCTCGCCGACACCCGCACTCGATCCGCGATCGCCTCCCTTTGATGCCCGCTCTTCTTCTGCGCCTCCATCATCAAACGTCCAGCCAATCGCGCGTGCGAGTCCAAATTTTTCCCCTCCCCGTCCTCCTCTTCCTCATCCGTGTCCTCCGCAGCCGCCTCCTCTCGCAGCCGCTCCAGGTACGCCTTGGCCAAACGAATCCTCTTCTCCTGCACCGTCTCCCGCGCCGCCGCTTCCGCCTCCGCCGCCGCCTCCGCATCGCTCCCTTCTCCCGTCTCCATCGCCTCCCGTCGCGCGCGCGCGACGCCCGATCGTTCGTCCTCGTCGTCCAGCGTCTCGTTCGCCTCTCTCTCGGCATCGTCCGCGTCGTTCGCGTCCCCCGTCGCGCGCGCGCGTCGCCCCGCTCGATCGCCCGCCCGCGCGTTCGGCGCCATCGTCGACGTCCGCGAACGCGTGCGCGCCGCGCGCGCGTCTGAAGCGTCCGATCGAACGCGCCGAGCGCGACGCGCGACGATGGCGGGCGGCGGCGGCTATAACCAAAAACAAAACGCGTTTCTTCACACGCGTGGGGTTCAGCCCGCCCGACCCCGAATGCGGTCGACGGCGATCGACACGGCGACGCGCGCGACCGCCCGTCGACGTCGACGCGATCGACCCCGAGGGCGGTCGTGAACGACGCCCGCGGACGTGAGCGCGCGAGCGACGACGCGCGTCGACCGCTCGAACGGCAGCGATCGCGATCGCGCGGGACGGACGGTTCGACGCGCGCGTCCGAGGGTCGAACGACGACGGGTGACGAACGAGCGCGGCGGGGCGCGTGGTGGGACGCGCGATGACGCGGTTGCGAACGTCCGAGTACGGTGATTACGACGCCATGGTGCGAACGCTGTTGGAGCATAAGTTTTTGCCCGAAGATGAGGTGGTGGCGCTGTGCGATCGAGCGCGCGGGTTGCTGGCGGAGGAGTCGAACGTGCAGTTCGTCCGGGCGCCGGTCACGGTGGTGGGAGACATACACGGACAGTTTCATGACATGATGGAGATGTTTAAGATGGGTGGTCTGGCGCCGGATACGAATTATCTGTTCTTGGGGGATTACGTCGATCGCGGGTACTACAGCGTGGAGACGGTGACGCTGGTGGTGGCGCTCAAGGTGAGGTACCCGGATCGAGTGACCATCATCAGAGGGAATCATGAATCGAGGCAGATCACGCAGGTGTACGGGTTTTACGACGAGTGCATGCGGAAGTACGGTCACGCGGGGATTTGGAAGGCGTTTACCGATCTTTTTGACTTCATGCCTCTGAGCGCGGTGATTGAGAATAAGATATTCTGCCCGCACGGGGGGCTGTCACCCTCGATCGATACGCTTGAGGACGTGCGTAAAATCGATCGGTTCGCTGAGGTCCCTCACGAGGGGCCGGTGTGCGATTTAGTGTGGAGCGATCCAGACGATCGCGCGGGTTGGGGAATGAGTCCGCGCGGCGCCGGGTACACCTTTGGAGAAGACATTACGCAGCAGTTCAACCACAACAACGGGTTGAAGCTCATCGCCCGCGCGCATCAACTGGTCATGGAGGGTTACCTGTGGCATCACGATCAATCGCTGGTAACCATCTTCAGCGCACCGAATTACTGTTACCGCTGCGGCAACCAGGCGAGCATTATGGAGGTGGACGACAACCTCGGGACGTCCTTCCTCCAATTCGATCCAGCGCCGCGCCGAGGCGAGGAGCAGCAGGCGGCGAAGCGATGCCCCGATTACTTCCTTTAGACGACGATAGGCGTGTACAATTGGCAACGAGCGTTTGTTTCACTCTCTCCCCCCGCGCCCGCGTCCGCCCTCCGCGTTTTCCACCACCCAGCCGCCGCCGCCTCTCTCGACCGAGCATTTCCTCACCTCACTCCTCGTCTGCTCCACCGCTCGATCTCGCGCTCGACCGAGACCACGTCGACGTGCGCACCGTCACTCGGTACCGACCGTGCGCGCGCGATCGCGTGCGCACCGCGCGAGGCGACGACGACGACGACGCGATGACGGTTGACTTTTTGCAGCGAAAACGCTCCAAGCGCGAGGCGAAGAAGGCGCGCGCGGCGTCGCGCGTGGACGAGAACGGACGGCGTATTCGTGGGAAAAAGGGGCCGAAGAGAGCGCTGAGAGGGATGTGCGCGAACGCGCCGCCGACGCCGCCGGCGCTTCGAGAGGAGGACGAGCGAGAGGAGGCGCGACGTAGCGGCGAAAAGAGAAGGGCGGAGCGAGAGCGGGTGGCGAGTAAGGCGCTGCGGAAGAAGATGCGGGCGGCGAGGGAGGATTTAAAGACAGGAGACGAGGCGATGGGGGAGATGGAGGGCGGGGGTGAGATCGTTGTGGATGGTGAGGGGTCGGCGGTGCCGGATTATTTCATGGACGCAATGAAGAGCATCGGGCATCGAAGGACGACGCCAGTGCAGCGCGGTTGCTGGCCGGCGGCGTGCGCGGGAAAGGATGTACTCGCGATCGCGCCGCCGGGGAGCGGGAAGACACTCGGATTTTTGTTGCCTGCGATCGAGGTCGCGCTCCGTGATCTAAGGGAAAATCCGAACGCTGGCAAGAAGTACCCGGGGTCGCCGGCGGCGCTCGTAGTGGCGCCCACTCGCGAGCTCACGCTGCAAATCTCCACCGTGTGTAACAAGCTCAAGAAGGCGGTCCCGGTTCGCTCAGTGGCAGTGTACGGCGGCGTATCGCAAGAAGATCAAGAAGAAGCGTTGGGGCAGCACACTTCCCACGCTTTTCTAGTCATCGGGACACCAGGTCGGTTGAACGCAGTACTCGAATCCGGCGCGCTGAAGTTGGATCGATGCAAGATCCTCGTCTTGGACGAGGCCGACCGCATGCTCGCCCTCGGGTTCGAGGAGCAGTTGTTGAAGATTCGTGATGCACTTCCGAACGCTAACGACGGCAGACAGACCTTGCTATTCAGCGCGACGTTCCCCAAGGCGGTGCGAACAATTAGCAAGTCGTGGCTCGGCGAAGGCTTCGAGACAGTGAAGATTGAAGTTGCAGACGGTAAATCGGGGACGATGGCGGGGAAAAGCGATGACGAAATGACAACACATATGGCTACCGTTGAACAAACCGTGCACGTTTGCGCCGAGCACAAGAAGAGCCGGAAACTGATGAAGTATATTACCAAGCTTCGCGCCGCCGACGGCAGAGCTCGAAGCCGAGTCCTCGTCTTTGCAAATCGCATCAAAACGGTCCAATTCATCGCCGAACTCTGCAAGCGGCACAACGAAAAGGTGAGCACGCTCTTCGGTACGATGAAACAGGAGCGACGAGACCAAGCCATGAAAGATTTCAAGGCAGGGAAGACGCCCGTATTGATTGCCACGGATGTCGCCGGTCGAGGTCTGGACATCGCGGGGTTGGAGTATGTTGTGAACTGGGATTTCCCGGGTAGCATTGAGCAATATCGCCATCGCGTCGGTCGAGCCGGGCGCCAGGGCAAACGTGGTGCCGCACTCTCATTTTTTACACGCAAGTTTGCGCCGCTCGCCGGAGATTTGATTGAGCTCTTGAAGAAGGGTGACCACTTCGTCGATCCAAATCTAGAAATCTTGGCAAAGGTCGCTGCGAGTCTTCCGAAGACAAATGCGAAGAGTGTCAAGAACGCCGATCGGTTCAACGAAGATCCCGCTGATGAACATGGCGAATTGGAGGTGGAGGAAGAAGAAGATGAGAACAACGATGCGGAGAAGAAGCCAGCCGCGGGAAAGCAAGATGATTGGCGACGAGGTGAACATGTGGAAAGCGAAGCGGGCGATGAGGAAGACGATGACTGTGACATGCGGCGGAAGAAGGCATGGTGGAATAGCGACAAGTCTGGACGCGGTGGTGTGTTTGTGAAAAAATTCACGGGATCGATGGGAGGGAAACGTAAAGTCTCTGTTGGTCCGAGCGCGGCTGAGATTGAAAAGAAGAAGAAACGCTCGATGAAGTAGAACTCTTTTAGCGACGATGCGACGATGTTGTCATAAGGTGCCATCCTAGGGAGCGTACACTTACAAACGACCACGACTACTATTAAGGATTCATCTCGCACGATCCTGCACCGGTGAGACGCTCGTGATCGTCCATGATCTCTGCAAGTAAATCTCCCACGTTGGTCTCGTAATTTTTCGGCACGGCGCACGCGAAGACGCACGGCGCCCACCCTCTTGCCTCAGACTCCTCTCGATACACATCTATGATCTCCAGTACTTCCGTTGAGCTCATGCCGCTCAAAAACATCATTCTCGGCACACCAAGCGCTTGCTTCACCGAACTCGCGTCGTCTTGCGTCGCCTCCAGTGCCCGTCCCAGCGGTGCTCGTAACGCGTTCTTCTCACACGCATTCACCCTGATGAAATCCGCTCCGATCTCGTTTAAGATCTCTCGCCAAACCTTGAGCTCTTCCCTGGTGAACCCAACGCACAGGACGCACTCCAGACCGAACCGACCGTCCGCGACGCCCCCCGGGGCGTCGTCGCTGTCGCCGTCTATCGGTGCAAAGTTGGTCTCTTCCTCCACCCCGGTTCGGATCGTCGACGACCGGTGTGCGCGTCCGCCTCGCGCGCGGCGTCTCGAGAGACCGCGCGGTGTGATTGTGGCGAGCGTGAGGTGTTGGTACGACGCGACGGCGCGCATATCGAGCGGCGAAGTGATGACGTGTGTCGTCACTGTTATTCTTTACTGGAACCTCTCGCGAGCAAGAGCGCCGTGACGTCGGAAGAGAACGGATCGAGTCCGAGAATGGGCTGTGGATTGATGCACTATAAAACTTAACTACGATAAGTAGCTATCACGGAGGACACTGCGGTGGGTCGGCGACGAAGCCTTCCTCAGAGAAGAGGTGTGGAAATTTGGACATGAAGTCGAAGCGTTGCTGCAGCCAAGGCGTGTCCGGCGTCGCGTTCTCTTCCAACCACTTACGGGTGATGCGAAATCTAGGAATGGTCTCGGAACAGCGTTCTTTAAACGCCGTTGTTCCTTTTCGGAACCGATGTAACGACTCTCTGGGTTTTTCGTGAGGGGAGGCTGAAGCTTCCGAATAGGCCCCGTCGTTCGCGAAGCGCCGAACGAGGGGCGACCTGAAGAGGTTGATGAAGTACTCTTTAGCCTCCGTATTGCCCATTGCGAAAATGGAATCGCACCCCTCTGAGTTGTACTGCGCGTCATGGTGCCTGTGTTCTTCACGGCCGTGAACGTGAAGCGCCGGGTCCTTCACTCCCAGGAACCCGTGCGCGTAAAACGCCGCAGCGTGCAAATGGGCGAGTTCAGCGGAGGCAAAGATGCACGTAGAGTCGAAATGTGAATCGTAAGGGAGAACCATTCCGAGCGTGCTCGTGTGGAACGCCACAAAGTTATCATCCAGTCTTGCTGGACCGTGGATCACACGCTGTTGCACGCTGCGGTACATCCGACGGCTCCATTCCTTTGTAAACGGCGTCCACGCAAGCGCGGGCTTTGCCCTATCGAGCCAAGCCTCGAATTTATCCATATACGCCTGCGGATTCCGCCCCATCAATTTTATCATGTCGTGATCGAGGAATACGAAGTATTCGTACAACGGGTTCCGCTCGAGCGCGCGCTCGAGCAGGGCGTTTCTCCCCGTCGTCCAAGTTGTCCCTGGCGCGTAGAACTTGAACGGATCCCCGCTCCCCGGATCGCTGTCATAACTAAGCGAGAAAAAGTCTCGCGATGCCGACGCGAGCGCGTTCGGGTCCACCCCGTGCGCGCTCTGTACCAACCACGCGAAGCGCTTCGCTCCTCCCAAGGCCGCCCGCCTCGTCGCATTCTCGCACCCAAGCGCCGCACTCTCGCGGTTAACCGCGTACACATCATCGTCCGAAAGTCGACTGCGATGCGTCCGCGACCCGAGCGCGCGCCCGAGCGCGCTCTCGCCCGTCGAGGACGTCGACACCGACGCCAACACCAACACCGACGCCAACACCAAAGCCACCACCAAAGCCGACGCACGCGAGAGCGTTCGCCCCGTGCTCGCGCGCGTCGACGCGATCAACGGGCTGGACTCGATCGGTGACGCATCGCGCGCCGTCGGCATCCTTCGCGCCGCGTCGGACTCCGACGCGCGCGCGCGCGATGCGCTGGGTCCCGCGCGATGGCGGTTTGCACTCCCGGGTGTCGCACGCGGCGCACGCGCGCGAGAAAACATCTCACGTTGCTGAATGATGGGTTTACGATAACCAGAGTAGTGCACCGTGGCCCTTTTTGCCGTCCCCGAGACGAAAGCACAGGCTCCCAGTGCGCGCGCGCGCCTCGACCGCACTCGACGTCGCGTCGGAACGCGCCGCACACCTCGCTCGCTCGGTCAATCCGGTCGAGAGTAATTTACCGCGAGCACCTGTTCGATCGGCAGTCCGTGACGGACGCACCGAGAGCCACAAAGTACACCCGAACGAAACATGCTCGCATCGATGACGATGACGGCGACGACCGCCTCGGCGGCGTCTGCGCGCGCGCGATTGAGCTCCAAGGCGAGCGCCGAGCGCGTCGGGACGAAGGTTTCTTCGCTCATTCGTGCGAACAAACGTGACGTTCGATGCGAAGGTGCGTGCGGGACGAACGACGCGCGCGAGGGCGACGATTGGACGACCCTAAACCTAAAACCTGGATAGGGCCCGCGCGCGGAGGACAGTGAAAAAGCGATCGCGCACGGTGGACACCCGGATGAAAATCGAGAGACTGCGAGAACGCGACGACTGACGTGTGATCGCGCGATATTGGTTTCACTCGCGCAGTGACCGCGGAGAGCTCGATCAACCAAATCGGGTTCGCCACGCCCCCGTCGACTGGCGCCGCGCCGAAGTGGGACGCCATCATCGAGGTGGGCGGCTCGCAACAGTTCGTTTCCGAGGGTCGATACTACGAGTGCCACAGCCTTAAAGGCGTCGAACCGGGCTCGAAGATCGCGTTCGAGCGCGTTCTCGGCACGCACGATGGCAACGCTCCGACGTGGGGTCACCCGTACGTGTCGGGCGCGCGCGTCGAGGCGACGGTGTTGGAGAACTACGACGACAAGAAGGTCATCGTCTTCAAATACAGACCGAAGAAGCACTATCGCAGAAAGAACGGTCACCGCCAAGCGATGACGCGATTCCTCGTCACCAAGGTGGTCAAGGCGTAAGCGCACGGTGAGAGGAGGCGCACGGCCAGCGCGCGAGGGCGATGGATTCATTCACACATAGAAGTCATGATGATATCACGCGCACGACGGTTAATTATTTCGCTAGGAGTTGTGTAATACGTGACTTAGCACGCATGGGAAAACGTGGCATCCTCTTCGTCTCGCTCGGACTTGCCTCGCGCCGCGACACACGGCGCCTCGCTCGTGTCACGCGGATGTCCCTCGTCGACGTCGCGCGCGTTCGTGGCGCGGGCGCATCGACGTCCGCGTCGCGCCGACGAAATTATAGGGCGTCTCGCGTGACGCTTGTTCGCGCGTCATCCTCGTTCGGCGCGGCGAGCGCGTCGAAGTCTCACGCTCGAGGCCTCGCGCTCGACCGACACCTCGTGGTCGACCGCTACGCCGATGGCCTGCGCCAGCTCCACGCTTCACCGGACGTCTTCGTGATTGACGAATTCTTATCCCCCGCCGCGTGCGAGGACGTAATCGCACGCGCGCGGGCGAAGGGGGACATGACGCAGAGCCCGGTGGTGTACGCGGGTTGGACGCGAGATGTAGAGGCTTGGACGTCCACCGTCTCCAGTGGGCCCGCGGTGTGGGTGGGGGCGCTAGCGATGCTCATAGGATCAACTGCGTTCGGACAGAGCGGCTTGGGGTTGCTCGGGGAGGGAGTAGTCGGGTACCTTGCCGCGGTCGGCGCGGCGTACGGCGCCTCGATGTCAACGGTGGCGATGAAGGAAGCTGAGCTGAGGGAGCTTCGCACGAGCACGAGCACCGCGCTCGATGGTTCGGGCGCGGGCGAACGCGAACTCATACGCGCGACGGAAAGATTGCTCCCGGAGACCTCGTGGACGCAGTACGAGGCGCCGACGGTTATTCGATACGAGCCCGGGCAAAAGTTGGCGCCCCACTTCGACGCGAATCAACGCGCGGACGTCGAAGATGCCGACCGCGGAGGACAGACGCTCGCGACGCTGTTGGTATACTTAAACGACGTCGACGAAATCAAAGGTGGAGGACAGACAGTGTTCGGCCGTCTGGAGGACGGTCTCGCCGTGCAACCGGCGAAAGGACGGGCGCTCTTATTTTTCCCGGCGAACGTCGACGGCGAGTTCGACGAGCGCGTCGAGCACGAGGGCGCGGAGGCCACGGAAGAGAAATGGATCGTGCGCGTCTGGGTGCATCAACGTCGCGTTGGTTCGCCGTGCGGATTGCCCGACGACTACGCGTCTTTGTAATCTCGCCGCTGGCGCGTCATTATTTATTTATTCCTGCCCATCCTCGTCTTCGTCGTCCAAAAAAATGTGAGCATTATTAACGTGCCGTTGGTTCAAGCCTCTCGTTAGATGCAAAAGAGAAATTTTCGCGACGGGGAATTGAACCCCGGTCTCTCGGGAGCTGAGCTGAGATGACAGCCGAGCTGTAGCTGAGAATGACAGCCGAGCATACTGACCACTATACGATCGCGAACGCGCCGCTCGGGAGAGGGCACTGGACTCACGTCATTACACGTGGATCGTTGCCGAGGCGTTCGTCTTGCCTGGAAATAGGCTGAACGCGCTCGATACTACACGACTACGAATTTTCCGCCAGCCCAGCACATTAACCTTTGTATCGTACATGTTACGGCTCTTATTGTATCCGAATCGGGGTTCTTTTCGGAGTCATGACCCGGCAATAGTGGTATAACACGTTTCACGCAACGCCACCAATATATATACGACGAGCTCGACGATCTCGACGATCTCGACGATCTCGACGCGTCCTCGATTGGATAACCTCGACCCATCGTCATCGCGCATCTCGCCGCACACGTCGTCGCCCGACTCGTCTCCGCGCGCGATCGTCTCCGCACACCGGCGTCACATCGCGCACGATGCGCGCCGTGGCCGCGCACTATCGCGCGCCGACGCGAACGCGTCGCGCGCCCGCGATTCGTCAGCCGTCCACGTCGCGCGCGCGTCGGACGTCGACGCTCGCGGTCGCGCGCGCCGCGGGCTCGTCGTCGCAAAATATCATGCCGAGCAACGGGGCGAATAAGCCGGTGGCCATCATCACGGGCGCGTCGTCCGGTCTCGGTCTGTACACGGCCAAGGCGCTGATCGAAAAGGGATACTTTGTCGTCATGGCTGTGCGAGACCCGCGAAAGGGCGAGACCAAGGCGAACGAGCTCGGGTTCGATAAGAAGTCGTACGCGGTGATGTACTGTGAACTCGGCGAGTTGGCGAGCGTGCGAGAGTTCTGCTCGGGGTTCCGACGATCTCCGTACGTGAAAAATTTTCAGGCGCTCGTGTGCAACGCGGCGCTGTATCTGCCGAACGCCACGGTGCCGTCGTACACCAAGGACGGTTTCGAGGAGTGCGTCGGGGTGAATCACCTCGCCCATCACTTGATGTGCTTAGAACTGCTCGATGACCTGGCCAAGGCGCCGGATGCGAACATGAAGCGACTCATAATCGTCGGTTCGGTCACCGGGAACACGAACACGCTCGCCGGTCAGGTACCGCCGCGCGCCGGTTTGGGCGACCTCTCCGGATTGAGGAACGGCTTCAAGAACAGCGATCGTAACCAAGGAGCGCACATCGACGGCTCGCGATTCATCGGTGCTAAGGCGTACAAGGATTCTAAGCTCTGCAACATGCTCGACATCAAGGTTTTCGCCGAGCGTTACGGCGAATCCACCGGCATAAAGTTCAGCACCATGTACCCCGGTTGCATCGCTGATTCTAACTTGTTCCGTAACCACACTCCTTTTTTCCGTTGGCTTTTCCCGATACTTCAAAAGAACGTCACTAAGGGTTACGTCAGTGAAGAAGAAGCTGGCCAGCGCCTCGCGTCCATCGTGTACGATCCGCGATACACCGAACAAGGCGCGTACTGGGCTTGGAAGGGCGGCGGCGACCAGCTCTGGGATAACTTCAACAATAACAACGAGGACACACGCACGATTGCGTTCAACAACAAGCCTTCGCGCGAGGGCCGAGACATGGCCAAGGCGAACGCCATGTTTGATATCTCTACGGAGCTCGTCGGCTACAAGCCAAACGTCATCGACGGCGTGTCCAAGGCGTTCGACCGTGTCATCTCCTCTGCTACCGAGAAGATTTCAAAGTAGAAGATGCTGTTGGTTACGTGATCAATCAATATATCGAGCGATCGTTAAACACAGGTCATTCAACGCAACAAAGTCGCGCCGCCACCGAGCGCGCTCACCTGTACAACATCTTCTTCCGCCGCGAACGCGCCGCGATAGAGTTGAGTTGGCTGCGACATGTTTTATTGATGATTCGATTCAACGCGCTTCTGCGTCGAAGAAAGAGCAAAACTTTTAAAACTAACAAGCTACGTGAACGGAAGACGGTCGCGTCAGAAGACCACCTCGCGATTCTTTTTCTTCTTCTTTTCCGGCTTTTTCGCGGGCTCTGCGTCGTCGTCGTCGTCGCCCTCGTCTTCGTCCGCATCGCCCGCTTTTTCGACGTCATCCTGGAAATCATCTTCCAGATCATCTCCACCGAAGCGTCGTTTCTGCCCCGTCGCAACAACCTCCTTTTTCTTCCCAACCTTGTTTGGAACCTTGGTGCACTGCGCCGCGAAGTGTCCGCGCTCTCCGCACCGAATGCACGAGTCACCCTTGTGCGGACAATCCTTCACCAAGTGATCCTTCGCCCGACAAATCTTGCAACACCCACCGTTGATGTACACCCCGTTCGCATTCTTCCCACATGATCTACTCAAATGTCCCGTCTCTCCGCACACGAAGCACTTCGCGTGCGCGTAATTCGTCCACTTTTCCGCGCACGCGCTCGCCGTGTGCTCGCGCGAGCCGCAGTTGTAACACGTCTTCTCCCCCCGCACCGATCCCGCGGCGCCGCCCTTCGCGACTCGACAGTCTCTCAGCGTGTGTCCAACGCCTCGACATCCGAAGCACGTCACCTTACTTCGCCAGATTCCACCGTTCGTGCTCGGCCCGTGTCCACCGCGTCCTCGGCCGCCGCCGCCTCGACCGTCACGGAATCCACCTCTCCCGTCGCCTCGACCGCCGCCTCGACCGCCTCTCCCGCCGCCGCGCGCGCGATCCGACATGCGTCTCGTTCACCCCGCGCCGCGCGCGCGCGCGCGCGCGTCGACGCTCGAGCGTTTCGGCGTGGAGCGCCGACGAGGAATGACGACGAGACGACGACCGCCGTCGGCCCGCACCTTCACACCGCGCGCATGACCGCGCCCGCGCTCGAGCACCTGTACGCGACGTGCGCGCGCGCACTCACTGGACGCGCGGCGGCGTCGAGGCGCGCGCAGATGGAGGCGCGCGCGTCGCAGGCGGTCGTCGACGCGATGTCCAACGTGACGCTCGGTGACGTCCCGCGGTCGATCGAAAACTTCGCGCGACGATGCGCGACGCGCGACGGCGAGGAATCGATCGTGAGCGCGGATGGTGGACGTCCATCGAACGGTCAGCGCGCGATTCTTCGAGCGGTGTCGCACTTGCGGTTGCGCTCGGCGGATGATTACGCGGTGTGCGCGTTTATGCTCGACTGCGGGCAGTCGATACCGCTGCACAATCATCCGGATATGTGCGTGCACATGCGCGTGTTATTCGGGCGGGCGCACGTGCGGGCGTTTGATTTTGTACACGACAATGTCCACTCGGAGTTGTCGACCAAGGAGGCGACGGCTGGGAATGGGAGGCGGCATCAAGCGAGGCTGGTGTTTGACGAGACGGTTTTCGAGAGCGGACGAGGCGGCGCGTTCACGCTCGAGCCTCATCGTTGTAACGTGCACGAAATTCGGGCGGTGACGCCGTGCGCGATATTAGAAGTGCAAACGCCACCGTACGCGGTCGATGGTGGGCGGGACTGTCATTATTTCGAGGAGGTGGAGCAAGCGTCGGCGACGGAGTTTTTGTTGAGAGAAATCGGGTGCCCAGATACGTTTGAGTGCGTAAGGTTCAATCGTCACGGCGAATTCGATGCATACACATAGCAGACATGTAAAGAAAGAATCGTTGTTGTACAAACACCAGGTACCGGGTATGGCGCTGAAAACTCGTTTCGTCGCGCCTCTCACACGAAGAGTTCCACCTCGTAACTTGGATCGAGAATGACAATTGGGACCGTCACATAACGCTTCTCCGTCTTCTCTCGCCATCCTCGATCGCCGAACGTCGACATCATCTCGGCGAGAAACACACTCGTCATTACCGTGGCGAGGTTGATTCCGGGGCATTGATGCTGCCCCATGCCTCCGGGAAAGAAGGTGTCATTTGCGACGTTGTTTGCGCCCGCCTCTGCGGTGCCGGCAATGAATCTCTCGGGTTTGAACTCGTCGGGATCCGGAAAGATGGCTTCATCGCGAAACGGAATTCTCGGATCAGCGGTCAGCACGTATCCGGCCGGAATGTCGTACCCGTCGAAGCTTCTGTCCGACGGATTCACTCTGAGTCCGCCCGCAGTCTGTGGCATCACACGAAGGCTTTCCTTTGTAACAGCGTTGGTGAACTTCAGAGCCATGATATCATCCAGAGTGGCGATGCGACGGCATCCATCCATGGGAGAGCAAACCGCGTCGGAGAATTCATGCGCGACCGCGCGACGAGTATCGGCGTGCTCGCCGAGTAACGTAAACGCGTGTCCCATGAGCGCCGCGGCTTCAATGTATGCTCCCCAGACCATTAACACGCACGTTGTCGCGATTCGTTCGTCGCTAAATGTTTCTCCATTTTCGTCCTTTGCCGTCGAGTACTGTTTGTAGAAGAAGTACTTCGGATCGTCGAGCTCGTTCGCTGCGACGACGCTGCGGAAGTGATTCTCGCAGTACCTGACAAGCTCATCCAACGCGGTACGACCAGATTTGAACTCGGGTGACCACTTGCCCAAGGAAAGCAGACCCGCGTTATACGCGACCATCGCTCTCTTGTATCGCTCATCCGGGACGTGTCCTAAGAAGAGTTCGAACAGGAGATCGAGGGCAAAATCGACGCACTCGACGCCTGGTCTGAATGAGACTACCTTCTCGCCATTCTCTTCGCTCTTACTCCGACTCCGACCCGACAAATCTTCTACGAATGCTCGCGTGCGTTCTCCGATCGTTTCGGCGTATGTCTCGAGCGCGAATCTCCCTAAGACGCGTTTGAAATTTGCGCGCGTCGCTTGGTGTCGCTTACCCGACATCCGCAGCGCTCCGTACTCGGTGTGAAGCTCGCGAAACGTTTCCGGAAGCGCCTCATCCGCGGGTAACTCGGCCTCAAACGTCAAAAACTCTCTCACGGCGTCTTTACTCCCGAAGACCACAGCGGGCTTGAAGAACATTGCCGTCTTGAACGTCGGCCCGTACCGCTCGACCCGCCGGCGCACGAAACCGTTCGGATCCGTCACGTATTCCAGCGTCTCCCTGCACCCGAATAACCCGACGCGTCCCGGGGGAAGCTTGCGTCCGCGCTCGCCTCGAATCATCGCTCCGAGGAACTGTCCCACGTCGCCGTCGTGACGGTTCGAGTCGCCATCGACGTCATCATCGAAACTCGCGCTCGCCCGCGCTCGCGCGCTCGACCTCGCCCCTCGCTCGAGATCGCCGCGCGCTCGCCGCGCGCTCGGCGCGCTCGCGCCTCCCGTCGCGCGCGCCGTCGTCGCCATCGCGCTCGAGCGTCGCCGTATGCGGGTGCGGTCTTCACTTCACTTCGCATGTCCGGCGTCGACGGTGCTCGCGGCGTCCTCACCGCGCGCGGGGTCGACGATGAGGTCGTGGAGTACGTCTGCGCCGTGCTCGAGGACCTAGACCCGAGCGAGACGGCGAGGGAGGACGTGAGGGCGTCGATCGGTGATTTCTTGCTCGAGAGCGGCTGCGGGGCGGCGGACGTCGACGCGCTGTGCGACGCGTTCTCAGGACGCGCGCTCGGTGCGGACGATGGCGAGGCGTCGTCGAGGTCGAGGGAGGACGAGACGTCGAGCGCGACGTCGACGGCGCTGATGTCGCTGGATGGGATCATCTTAGCGTACGCGGCGAAGACGCTCCTCACGCGGACGGCGCTGCGGCTCGAGCGCGGGGCGCGGTACGGCGTGGTGGGGCATAACGGGGCGGGTAAGACGACGCTGCTCAATCGTTTGGCATCTGGAGACGTGAAAGGGTTCCCGCGTGACGTTCGGTGCGTGTTCGTTCGGCACGAGGTGCTGACGTCGGCGCGCGTTGAGGTGCGAAAGTGGGTCGAAGACGACGCGAGCGAGGCCGAGAACGTCCTGGGGGTCAAAGCGATCGAGAGCGCGCTGAGAAGCGTCGGATTCGACGATCTAATGATGGATAAAACGGTAGCGGAGCTTTCGGGGGGATGGCGCATGCGCTTGAGTATCGCGAGCGCTATGTTGCGCCGCGCTGATTTGCTGTTGTTGGACGAACCTACGAATCACTTGGACGTCGGCGCAGTGGAATGGTTGGCAAATTATCTCTGCTCGCTCGAGGGAACCACAATCATGTGTGTTTCGCACGATTACGAGTTTTTGCGAAAGATATCCACTCACATCGTGCAGTTTGACAAACAGGAACTGCACACGTTTGAAGGCGGCTTCGATGGCTTTCGCGCGGCTCGCCCTAATTTAGTTCTCCCTAGAATGAAGAAGGAGTTAGTGGAGTCGATCAAGGATCGTGCGACTGAAATGGGCGAAGCGATAGACGACGGCTCGAAAGATAGTGACTCTAGACGTCGAGCAGCAAGTGAGGCGAATATATTGGAAAACACTGCTGGAAGCGTTGTGGCGATACGAGCCGGTGCCGCGTCGACGGCTCTGGCGGGCGGGTTGAGTAGGAGAATGACTGGTTCGCAAGCACGCGCGAATGGTACATCGCTCGGTGCTTCGATAGTCTTTCCCGAGCCTGGGCCTCTGGACGGCATAAAAAGTAAGACGCAGGTCGTAGCGAGGGTTGAGGACTTGGGCTTCGCATATGGACCAAATAATCTCGTACTGAGTGGTGTTTATGCGAGATTGTACCTCGGTAGCCGCGTCGCGGTCGTCGGTGCGAACGGTGCCGGTAAGACGACGCTGATGAAAAACATCGTCGGTGAGCTCGAGCCCACGAGTGGGACGATTTGGAAGCACCACAACCTACGCATCGCGTACATTGCCCAGCACTCGATGCACCACCTTCAGGAGCACATGAACATGTCGCCCAAGGAGTATATCCAAACAAGATTTTATCAGGGCCGAGACAAAGAGGTCGCGAAGATGTCCACGATGGCGCTCACTGACGAGGAAAAGTCTCAGCAGCAATCACGAGGAAGCGTTTGCGAAATTCTCGGACGCGCCGTCAAGGGGGGAGAGCTGTGTTACGAGGTCCGTAAAGTTGGCGATAGGCCGGGTGTTACACACTGGGAGCCAAAACGCTTTCTCAAGGCATCGTACGTAACAAAGATGTGCAAAAACTACGATGAAATGATGAAGGCAATGCAGAGCGGGATGGACGTTCGGCCTCTCACCTCGTCAGAAGTTTATTCGCACCTCATGGACTTCGGCATTTCTCAAGAGCTGGCGGATGGGAAAATTAAGCGAATGTCTGGAGGACAAAAGTCACGTCTCGTCCTCGCAGCGGCGATGTGGATCAAACCGCACATCATAGCACTCGATGAGCCAACGAACTATCTGGACAATGAGACTCTCACCGCACTGACATCGGCGCTAAAGCGATTTAAGGGAGGTGTTCTCACCATCAGTCACAACGCTTCCTTCGTTGGAGACGTCTGCACAGACACATGGCGAGTGTATCAAGGTAAAGTTACCTCGAGCGAAGATGAGGCGCGAGGTGTCGGTGCTAGTCGCAAGGGCGGCGCTCGACGTCGTCGCGCGCTCAGGGAGGAAGACATGAGCGAATCCACAGAGGCGACTTCGGAGATTTCAGCCAATCAAGATTTGAAGAACGTAGGTAGAGCGATAACGGGAATCCTCGCGAGTCGTCGAACGGCGCTAGATATGCGCTTTGAGCAAGTCTCTATGTCCGTTAGCGGGGTCGAGCTCATCAAGGACTGTGTCTTGGAGTTGAATGTCGGTCGTCGTTACGGCTTACTCGGCGCCAACGGCTGCGGTAAATCAATGCTCCTAGAAGCAATTGCAAGGCGCGAGCTGCCCGTACCTAAACACGTGGATATTTATCACTTGCGTGAAGAGGCAGAACCGAGTGAGCGAACCGCTCTGGAGGCGGTGGTCGATCACATAAGGGAAGAGGTCTCTCGACTTCAAGCCGTCGAGAGTGATATCCTATCGTCAAAAGGTCCGGGCGACGAGAGTTTACAAGGAATTTACGAACGCCTAGAGGAGCTCGATCCAGCAAAGTTTGAGGCGAAATCGGCTGAATTATTGCACAATCTTGGTTTCGATAAAACGTTGATGAATCGCGAGACCAAGGCGCTCTCAGGTGGCTGGAGAATGCGCGTTTCTCTCGCCCGCGCGCTCTTGGCATCACCCGCATTATTACTTTTGGACGAACCGACCAATCACCTCGACTTGTCGGCGTGTGTGTGGCTAGAAGATTACCTATCTAAATACAAGAAATGCTTGGTCGTGATATCGCACTCGCAGGACTTTCTCAATGGCGTATGCTCTCACATCATCCGCATCACGAACAAGACGCTCAAGTACTATACGGGCGATTTCGACACGTTTAGACGAACTTTGGCGGAAGAGGAGATCATCCAGCAAAGGCAATACGATAAAGAACAAGCTGAGATTAAGCACTTGAAGGACTTCATCGCATCATGTGGGACGTACGAGGACAAGATGAAGACGGCCAAATCGAAACAAAAGATCTTGGACAAGATGGAAGCCGCGGGGTTGACGCCTTCGCCACGAGCGGAGAAGACGTTCGAGTTTACGTTTCCGCAGTGCTCTAAGCTCGCCCCTCCCGTACTTCCGTTCAAGAACGTTTCGTTCCAGTATCCCTCAGCGGATCCATCTCTCGGGATGCTTTTGCAAAACCTTGAGTTTGGCGTAGATTGCGATTCTCGCGTCGCTCTGGTCGGGCCAAACGGCGCCGGTAAGTCCACAATCTTAAAACTTATGACTGGAGACGTAGAGCCGAGCCTAGGCGAAGTCGGTCGACACCATCATCTGACCATCGGTCGATATCATCAGCACAGCGTGGACGTCCTCGATCCTCGATCGACGCCTTTGGAGTTCTTTGCAGGGACATATTATGACATGAAAAAGCCGAATGACGAGTGGCGTTCGTATCTTGGAAAGTTTGGAGTTACTGGACGGTATCAGACACATCCCATCTCGCAACTCTCCGACGGCCAAAAGTCTAGACTGGTGTTCGCGATGCTGTGCCTAGCGAACCCAAATCTATTGCTTTTGGACGAGCCGACGAATCACCTCGATCACGACTGCATCGATTCCTTAGCGGACGCTATCAATAAGTACCAAGGTGGGCTGGTTCTGGTGAGTCACGATTTCAGATTGATTGACAAAGTTGCAAGAGAGATTTGGGTGTGTGAGGACAAAAGCGTAAAGGTTTGGCGGGACGACATCCGTGCGTACAAGAGACACCTTGCGAGGAAGGCGTTGGTCGCCTAAATGTAAAATTACACGAAACATTAATGCCACGAACGGGAGTCATGTTCTCACCTTTTCGACGTCGCGGCGGCCGCCCCTATCACCGCCAGCCCGACCGCCGCGATCGCTCCCGCGGCGACCAAACCGTCTCGCGCGAGCGCCTCCTCCGCCGCCTCTCGCACGTCCGCCGCCTGCCGACACTCCGGATCGCAGCGCAGTGCATCGAACGCCGCCGCTCGAGCCTTTTCGTAATCCCTTCCGTTGTAGTGTGCGACTGCTCTCAGGTAGTGTAAGTCTCGATCCGTCGCCGCCTCGCCGAAGTCGTCTCGCCACCGCTCCGCCCTGCGCTCGACGCTTTCAGCTTCTCCTCTTCCGTTCGACTCCAACATCTGAATCGCTCGCGTGTTGTGTCGCGCGTCAGCGCTGTGCGCCAAGGTCCAAGTCGCGGTGAATCGCGCCTTCTGGACGTCCGAAGCGTCTACAGAGGGCGCCGAGCGAGAGAGCTCAGATTGTAATCTCCCGAGCTCGCCCAGCGCGTGCGAGACGGCGGCAACGTCGGTACGCCTGAGGTCTAGGTCGTCCGCGGAGGAAATACCGAGTGTGCGCTCGAGTGAGTGCGCGACGTCGCGCACGAAGTTCATGACGCGGGCGACCTTGGGGGAGTGGTGAGGCAACTAGTGCGGACGAAGCGAGCGTCACGCGTATGTCAACGAAAATCGTCCGTCATTGTTATATTACCTTACAAAGAGTGATTCAGACCAAGGTCGAGCCGTGTGGGACGTTCTCGGCGAGGAGAGCCGCGGACTCTTCGTGGGACTCGATGACTTGGCGACGTGCGGCGACAACCACGGCGATGATGAGAGCCACGCACGCTCCCAGCGGCGCAATGATGTTGATGTCGAGATTGGAGCGTCCAGTGGAAGTTTGCGCGTTTCCGAGAGACGCCATGATCGCATGGTATTCGCCGCGTCGCTTCGCACCCTTGTCAGCTTTCATGTTTTTCACGTGGCTCAGCGGAGCGACGTCCTTGTCGCGTGGCTCCACATTCAGAGCGAGCTTTGCCGAATCGGATTTCGGGGTCATTGCGGCACCCATGTTGTCCTGATTGATATCGGTATCATCACCAAGCCCCGCGCCCGGGTTCAGCGTTTCATTGCGGTAGTATGATACCTTTTGCACAGAACCCTCGACGCACGGGGCGTCAGTGGACGGCGCCGATTTGCCCGTAGTCACGATTGGGTACACGGATTCGAACAGAAGACCGCACGTACCGAAACCATGCGCACCGATACGACCGCGCTCGAGCTTGAAGAAACCTTGGTCCCCCCATTTGGGTCCGTAGGAATTCTTGAGCTCCCAATACTTGATGCCATCCTTCGTGACTCCCCAGCCGACGACGAGCACAGCGTGATTGATTGACGAGATTCCGCGACCAAGCGGATGGCAATCATCCATCATGATGACACCATCATCGTAAGCTTGCAGTCTATTCGCGTTGATGCCTACCGCCACCGGCCCGCGCTCGTAGATCGCCCTGTACAGTGGTTCCTCACCCAGGACCTGCTCCAAATCGCACATGGCGGGCGTGTTATATTTGTGCTCCGCTTCCGCGGCGCACTGCGCTTCGGGGTCGTCCTCGCGCTCACCCGGGACCTTCTCATTGTAGTCTTCCATGGTGCTGATGCCTCCATGCTGTCCGAGCCACTCGTACGCCGTGTACATATTTCCCGTGGAGCACGCGTGATCGATGTCGTCGCAGGCCATGAGCTGCTTCACGCTCAATCGAGGGGCATCATCGCCCTTGTTAATGACCGCGATGCGACTCGCGATGGAATCAGCGGTGACGAAGGCCCAGCACGACGCGCACATATCCTGTTGGTCGTGCACCAGACCGACGACGTTACCGTAACCGGCGGGAGGTGAGCGCCAAGTGAATTGCTCCGGGTAGCCCTTCGGCGGCTCACCCGTCGCACCCAAACCACCGCTCGCATCGGAAGCACCCTCAACTGCCGTGTCCGGTTGTCCTTGTCTGTTCTCCTGCGCTCGAAGGTTCGCTCGCGCCCTCTCGCGCTGCTGTCGCGACCACCTCGCGCGCCGCGCGAACTTCCCCTTCGTCTCCCCAAGCCCCGTCTCGCCCTCCGCCCCCCCGAGCGTGGACTCCGACGGTTCATCGATGTCCAGCCCAAGCCCAAGCGCCGTGTCAAGCGACTTGACGGGTGTGTACGTGAGCCATCTCTGCGCGAACTCCTCCTCGGTGAGGTCGCTGAATTTCGTCTCCCGCACCCTGTACGACGCGCGCTCGTTCGAGTTGTGTTTCTCGTACATCACCATGTTCGCGAAGTACACCTCCTGACGACGTAACGACGTCTTACACACCGCCTTTGTGCTCCCCCCGTCGCAGTACACCTTTCCGTAGCGGTTTAAGAAGTCTTGAAACGCGCGCTCGTGCCTGCCCCCGCGCATCGGCGCGCGGTTGGCGTCGTCGCTCGTCTTCGCCGCGCTCGTTCCCGCGGCCGCGCACGCGACGGCGATGATCATCGTCGACGTTTTCGTCGCGCGCGAGCGTCGTCGCGGCATCTTGATCGTGTGCGCGCGGCGTAATTTGGACCATGGGTGGATGCGTGGGTGTTGGGACCATTCGAGGCGAGATCGGGTGTTTTGTTTTGGGAAAAGTTGAGCGACGCGACGGCGACGCGTCCCGCGTCCGAAGGCGCGACCGCGCGCACGACGCGCGCGACGTTGAATGATGTCATTAAATATTCTAGGACGCTCGACGCGCGGAACGACGACGAATGGTCGTGCTGGAGGCGCTGTCGAGCGCTTTTTGAGACTTGGACGGAGCCGACTTTGTGACGTCGGCCGTCTTACGCGCGACACCCGAGCGAAGAGACGACGTCACCGCGTCGAGGGCGAGGAATGTGAACACCAAGCTGCATCCAAACCACTGCGTCCGGTTCAATTCGTTGCTAGGATCCCTGAACACGGAGTACACTGTGGAGAAAATTTTGCGCGTTGTCGTCACCGTTGTGAGCACGAGAACGTCAAAATTGGTGATGGTGTAATATATGAAGTTCTGGCCGATGGCACTCGCAAACGAGTACACGAGCACAGCACGGGCGAGTTCGGCGTGCTCAAGGCACGCGCGTAAACCGGTCTCCATCTGTCTGGTGACGAGCGCGAAGCCAACGGCGACCACGGCGCCGCTCAGATTGGTGTACAGCATGCTCTCGTACACGCTCGGTCTCGCGTTCGCCCGCCCCTGATTCAGCGCTTTCGTCGATCTCTTCACGCGATCTTGCAAGCCTCCCGTGATGGCGTCCATGACCAGCGACACTCCAATCAGGGTAAGTCCGTACGCGCTGTCGACGCCGCTCGCCCTCCTCGCGTCCGCCCCCAAGTTAAACACCACCACCCCGATCGTGATAAACGCCGTGCTCATGTACTGCGACGCCGTGAACGTCCTTCCACCGAGAACCAGCCCCCCGACGACGACCGGGACCATTTTGCACGACTTTCCGAGCACTTGCGTCGGGTACGAGACGTATCGCAGCGCCTCGTTGCTCGCCGCCATCGCGAGCATCTGTGACGCCCCACTACTCAGCACGTCTCTGCGAGGGACGACGACTCCTGATCCACCGACGAGAATCAATCCCAAGAGCGCGAACGCGCAGTTCACCGCGCGCTCGCACGCCAGGACGAAAAACGTCGCCGCGAATCTCCCATCGCCGTACGTTCGCTTGTACACGTCCTCCTGCGCGACCGCGAACGCGCCGAACGCGGCGAAGACGCCCGCGACGGCGACACCGAGTTCCACCGCGCGCGCGATCGCCATCTCGACCGTCGAGGCGTGGCGCGGCGTCGACCGGCGCGCGCGCGGCGTGTTTTTTATCCGTCTATACCCTACACACTGTTCGCGCATACGTGCTTATCCACACCACATCGTCCGCGCGCGACGCTTTGGAGCGTATTTTAACCCCATCGCTGTCACCACCGCGGACACCAGCGACGGCCGCGACGACGACGCGGCGCCGACGACGCCGCGACGCCGCGACGCGCGTCGTTCACCGCGCGCGCGCCGACGAGGGTGCGAGCGCGGCGTCGAGGCGTCGCGTCGACGTCCTCGCGCGCGGTCGAGCGTGGACGTCGGCGCGCGCGACGGGCGGCTCGAGCGAGGGCGAACGCCGAGAAGGCGAACGATGGCGACGCGCGCGGTGGCCGTGCGCGCGAACGCGCGGGCGGGAGGGATCGCGCGCGAACGACGACGACGATCCGTGGGTGCGGGTGTCGTTGGACGCGGGCGTTCGATCGAGACGCGCGCGTGGGTGGGTGCTCCGGAGGGGGCGACGAAGCGTCAGACGCGATTGCGCGCCGTGTTGAAGGACGACGACGGTGTCGGATGCGCGGATGTGAACGACGGTGGGATGACGGAAAGAGAAGATGAATCGAGCGCGGTCGTGCTCGGGAGTGAGGGGTCGGGGGAGAAGGGGGTGAACGTGAGTCTTATTGTCAGCATAACCGCGTTGGTCGCGCTGGCGGTGAGCGGGATCACGTTTAAAGATGACATCATCGGTTCGCTCGGTGTTTTCGTCGATTACGTCGATTCACTCGGTCCGACAGGTTACGCACTATTCTTGGTGGGATATGTCGCGTTGGAGGTGCTGGCGGTGCCGGCGTTTCCGTTGACAATGTCGGCGGGCGCCTTGTTCGGCACGTACTCCGGCACTCTTCTCGTCACAGTGTCGGCGACGATAGCGGCCACTATCGCGTTTCTTATCTCTCGATATGTGGCGAGGGATAAGGTTCGGAAGATTGCGGACGGTTACCCGAAGTTCAAGGCGATCGATAAAGCCATTGGAGAGGACAGTCTGCGAGTTGTCTGCATCATGCGACTCTCGCCTTTGATGCCGTTCGCAATCAGCAACTATCTCTACGGCCTGACCTCGGTAAAATTCCGGTCGTACGTAATCGGATCCTTCTTTGGAATGATGCCGGGTACCTTCGCGTACGTATCCGCGGGTATGGCGACGAGGCAAGCTGTTGAGGGCACGGCGGGTCTCGGAGCGCTTCTCTCAACTGCCTTCGGCATTGGACTGGCCGCTTTCAGCGCGGGATACGTGGGTAAGTTGGCCACAAAGGCAGTCGAAGAAGATACTGGTGAGTGTCTCACTGATGAATGCGATGCCAGTCGATCGTTCGAGGAATCAACTTGACTGCTTGGCGGTGAGCTGAACTGAGACAAAAGCTCAACGACAATACATTTCTTGCATGTTCTCGCAAGCCGCACCTTTATCTCATTCTGTATACGATGGACGCGTGACTCGCCCAATTAGAGAAGAAATTGACGATGTAATAAATACGCCACGCGCGTGGTCTTGATAATCGCTGGAAGCTAACGTTCGTCATCATTACACAACGCGATCTCTAAAACACTCTCACACAATTTGCGAGACGTGACTTGCTCCATCGTTCGGCAAAAGAGGCGCACGCGCTTCATGATCCAACGATTTGCGCAACGAATTCACGCGAGTCACAAACGCGATCATTAACGTCATCACCGTGACCATAACCGCACCGAATAGGAGAATGTACCCGTTCCCATCACGTTCCTCAACACTGGGTATTTTTGAGTTGGGAGTGATACTTCGCCATGCGCCTGCTCGCGCGTGCGCGGCCATGAGAGCGCGGTAGTAGTCTGTTCGGAAAGATGCGCCGGGCGTACACTTCCTTTCCGCTCCCGGTAACTTGAGGATTGGGTAAACGCTTTCAAAGTACATACCACATGTGCCCAGTCCTTCTGATGTCAGCGGTCCTCGTTCAAGACGAAAGTAACCATTCTCGCCCCAATCAGACCCAAAACTATTCTTCAATTTCCAATACTTCACAATTTCTCCATTCGGCATCGTTTCCTCGCCCCATCCGGTCAACAAAACGGCGTGATTGATGGATGTGTACATCGTATTTGCCGTATGATAAGCTGGAGGACAGTCTTTCATGCGCAAGATGCCCGAGTCATAAAGCTGAAACTTCGAGTTCGCATTCACGCCGATCGCGACTGGTGACTTCATGAGGGCATACATCAGCTCCTTTTCACCACCGCTCAGCGAAAGCTCGCAATATCCAAGTACTTGCACCTTTCGCGGAATTTGTGGCCGCACGGCCGACGAGCACGCAGCCTCCTGAATCTTCTCGAGCGTCACGCCCGGTTTCGTTTGCGGCATCGTTTCGAAGTGAGGGTCAGGCATCGCCTCAAATTCGTCTTGTAACTCATTACTTCTCGCCTTTGTCTTGAACTCATCAGATGTGAACCAGTTCAATGGGCGGCTGCCGACGTCGGCAAGGACAGATGCAAATTTATCGTTTCCAGAGAGACCTCCCACGGTCTCGATCCACTCAAAGGCAGTGAACATGTTACCAGTGGCGCACCCACTGTCGTAAGTATCACAGTTGATGAGCTCGTCTACCGCCAACTCCTCGTGTGAGTTTGAGATGTTGTGAATGACCATGAGAGACTCGAGAATATCCGTCGTCACGTACGCCCAACACGAGGCACAGTCCGGTTTCTGACTGTGCACACGTCCCATTACGTTGGGGACATCACCCCAGTTGAATGACTTCGGGAGCGCTCGATTCTGACCTTCTGAGCTCCCCAACTGCATTTCGTTTGCGCTCGTGCGCGCATCACGCTTCGCTGCGAGTTGCGTCTCGTGCTCCGCGGTGATCGGTCGCGCGCGATACTTGTACTGCGTCGCGTGGAACTCGTCCGGATCACGATCCGCAAACTTGTTCAGGCGCAACTTGTAAGTGCTGCTCGAGTCCTTGTTGTGTTGTCGCACGGTGTGGCGGTTACGTAGGAAACTCTCTTCAGCCTCCGCGAGCGCCTGCCTGCACGTTCGCGCTCCCTTCGCGTTTCCCTCCTTTCGCTGGCAGTACGCCGCCCTATCTCTCCCGTGTAACTTCATATAGTGCTCAAACTCCGTCAACGTCACGTCGAACCCGGCACCATTCGCGCGCTGCGCGCTTCCCAAGCCGGCGACCTCGAGCGCCCCCCTATAATTCAAAGGCTTCGCGTTCAAGCTCGCGATACCGCGCGCGACGCCCCACTCGCGCGCTCTCTCGCCCCCGAGCGACGCCGTGGTCAACTCTTCTTCCATCTCTCCCGTCGCTTCATCCTCGCTCGCCCGCGCGACGGTCGAGCGCGTCGTCGCGAGCGCCAACACCATTGTCACCACGCGCGCCGCGCTCGACGCGATGTCCCATCGTCGCGGCGTCGCGCGCGTGGACGATGCCATCGCGCGCGCGGTCGCGCGCGCCATCTTCCCCGCGCGACGTCCGGGCCTCGGTGCGATCGTCCCGGGCGCGCGCGCGAGGTCGTGCCGGTCGACGTCGCGGTCGAGGGCGATCGCATCGCGGGCGCGCGACGGGTGATCGATCGACGAGTCGCATTGATCGGTGAATACTGCGCAAAGTATGGGACGCGCGCCCATCGCCCGCGCCCGCATCGCGCGCGCGCGTCATCCGTCGCGGCGTCGCCACGGCCAGCGTCCACGGCGACCGGGGCGAGGGAGATGAGCGCGGCGGAGCGCGCGCCGATGCTCGGCGCGCGCGCGCGGGAGGGCGCGGGCGAGAGAGCACGGCGTGCGGGTCGCCGAGAAAGCTGGCGGACGGTCGCGCTCGACCGACGGGCGTGGATCGCGCTCGCGGGCGCGCTGGGGGTCGCGTTCGCGATATCGTCCGGGTACGTGGACGTGGGATCGACCTCGGGGGAATGGGGGGCGCGCGGGGGGGGGGGCGCGACGTCGGACGGGCGCGCGCGAGTCGACGCGCGCGAGGGTGTTGGTGCGCGCGTCGGCGTCTCGGACGGTGATCTCGGAACGGCGCGATCGGCAGATTTTGGTGTGTACGATGGAAATGGTGACGTCGGACGTGGGATCGACGTCGATGCGTTGAATGAGCATTTATCAGGGACGGTGTGGGACTTCAACGAGCCGAGGCCGAGGGCGATCGAGGAGACGATGGGCAAAGTAGCGCGTAGTTCGCGACTGCTTCCTTCGCTGGGGCAGACGTCACAACGCTCGCAAAGTGCGAAAAATGTAGCGGAAGGCGAATCGCGCGGATCCAAGGACGACAAAGATAGGGATGGTCGCACAAAGTCCAAGGCGGGAACTCTTCAGCCAGGGCTCGCGTTGAGCGACGATGAGATTTACGATCCAGCCTTCGTTGACGACGACTTTGAAAACGGCAGACGATCGGCGAAGCAATATCTCAAGCGTTTCTTGGATCCACCGTTGTTAAACACCACGTGGGACACGGGACGCGTGCGTCGATTAGGTCGTACATTGTACCTCGACGGTAAACCATGGCTGATGCGCGCAATTTGTTATTCCCCAGTCCCTATTGGCTGGGATCCGGACTGGTTCGAGCCGTACGGCGACTTTTTTACCAATGAATACGCTGGAATATTTGAACGCGATGTACCGCTCATGGCTGCTGCTGGCGTGAACACGCTGCGTATTTACACGTTGAAGCTGTCAAAGCGCCACAAGCAATTTTTCGATCTTGTCCACCAGTACAACATGACTATACTGGTTGGCTACGACTTCGAGGATGGTACAAAGAGTCTTTTCAACACCGCTGAGACGATGCAGCAGACGCAGAAGGAACTTCGAACCCTTGTACGGGCCGCAAAACATCCGGCAGTGATCGGCTGGATTGTCGGAAACGAATTGAACGGTCCGTGGAACTTGTTCGTGTGCGATAAGGATCTCGCCGAAAATTTCGGCGTCAGTGGCTGTCAATTTGAAGACTCAATTGAAAAGCTGATGAAGTCAGTAAACATGCTGTGCGGGGTCGTGCGTTCAGAAAATATGCTTTGTGGCACGGCTATTGCGAATGTCAACTTGCCTAAGCGAAAACAGCACCTTGTTGGCACGCAGCTATGGGGTGCCTTGAGCTGGATCAAATTAGCGGATCGGTACATGGACCAACTTGATTTCTGGGGCGTAAATCTGTACACACGTCGTTACTTTTCTCCGATGGGAATTTTCCAACGGTATCATTTGGTGAGTAAGCGGCCGTTTTTGATCACCGAGTTTGGTGTCGATGCTTTCAGTTTAGCTCCCCAGTTGGAAGGTTCGAATGGGTACGATACTATGGGGACAGAAGATGAAGTGTCACAAGCGGACTGGTTGGCGACGATGGTAGAAGACATAGAGAGACACTCTACGACGTGCAAGGCGGGCTGCGGTGTCAGATTTACATCGGGTGGAGCTGTTCTGTCATGGGTCGATGAGTACTGGAAAGGGAAAGCGGTCACTCCTGTTCCAACAAACGATGACCGCGTCCCGACAATCACTCGTGTGTGTCCTTCATTGAAGGAGTATTTGCACTCTCCATGTGGCTACATGTCGCCGACGCAGCCTGATTTGTATGTATCGGAGGAGTGGTTTGGGATCATGGCGATTCGGAAGAAATGCAGCATCAACAAGGTGGATCTTTTGAGGCCAAGAGCGGCGTATTACATGTTGAAGTTACTGTGGAAAGACGGAGGCTCGTGTACCATTTTTCATGAGCAGACGACTTCGGCGTACGACACAGATATGTATCCAGACTGCTCCAAAGCAATGAAGAACTACCACAACAAGACCATGCATTTATTCATGCGCGCCGAAGCGGAGGCTTGGCATGGAATTAAACTCAATATGAATGATCCAACGCCTATTTTCGCTCATTTTGAGAACTTTAGCGCTATTCTCACTCATCCCAAGGGGCTTATCAATCCAGTGTCCACGTCACTGCAGAGCACCTTCATGTCGTGTCACCATATGAAGCAGATCAATCGCAAGAGTGATAAGACGTGCCCGTCTCCACCGGTAGCCTTTGGGGATTTAGGGAAAATATTCAACGACCAGATGAGCTCATTTGAGCAACCTGGAGATACGAGCTGTCCAGATCAAGAGCAGTTCGATGCGATGAAGCTCGAAGTCGAGCTCGTGGTGGTTATCAAATTTGCGATCACGCTTTATATTGCTGTTGCTCTCGCCATTCGATGGAGATTCACACGTCGTCACGTACGGGATGCATTGATTTCTCTATCTCGCTCAAACTTATTCATCGTGCGCCTTTTCATTAAGGACACTAGAGCGTTCGTTGAAGTTCACAAACGTGCAGAGCGCGTTCTAGGCTCTCCGGCGAAAACATCCAGACAACTTGATGGAGACCTTAGCTCTGAATCTTCAGAACAAGATGACGAGCTATCGTTGCGTCGTCGTGGCCCGGAACCGTCGGGCTCGAGCTCTATTGAGCGTGGAATTGAGCAATGGAGAGCTCGAATTTCACCAGCTGCCATGAGTCTGAGTGATATCTTTGGTTTCCAAGCAGGCACTGAGGAGATGGGTAGCACGAGGGAAAATTGCATTGACAAGTGCGCGCATGCACTCTGGAACATTTCGCAGCTGAAAGACGCGCCGTCGAATGCATCCGACTGGGCCGTTGAAACACTCCATGCAAAAACGTTCGCAGCATACAAGAAGTACATGAGGTACACTGGTATCAATTTCTCTCCCCGCGGCGTCTCCACGCTGGCGTCTTCAATGGGCAATGGTAATACGGACGACAAACTCTGTCAGATCGTGCTCTTTGAACTACTTTACGAGGAGTCTGCGAATATGAGATACATGCCCGAGTTTATGATGTTCACATTCCACCTCATGGCCGCTGCGGTTATCAATCGTGGTGTGAATTGTTCAGCGGCGCCTGAATCAGGAGTGGGGTATGAGAGAAACGATTTCCTGACGTCGATTGCGACACCTATGTACGAATTCCTCGCTTTACATATGAAGAGCGCGGCTCCTCTGCACTTACGCTTGGGATACGATGATATAAATGAAGCTTTCATCGATGTTGCTACGATTCGCACGATGTTGAGCATGGACGCGAAGATTGGGACGAGCTCGTATGCGAGATTCAGGCAGTTTATGCTAGCGGCCGGGTCAGCTACAGAAAAGGATAAGAGTTTGAGCGCCGTCTTCAAAAAAACATATAGAGAGCACCTGGGTTGGTTGACGGCATACATCAACTTCCAGCGAATGTTCACTCTCTTTTCGCTGCTGTTGCACGCGATGATAGTGTTTGCTTTCGTACAATTTTCTCAGCTAGCGCTGTACTCAACCATGGCTGTTACTGTAGCTTTCTTTGATGCCATAATCGAGTTGAGAGTCTTGTTTTTCGATCGCGTCGAGCTGTTTCACAGTCGACTTGAATCCATCGGTCGCGGCGCTTTCGCCTTGGTGATACTACTGCTTGGATGTGGACTTTCGCTGGGGTACGTTAACGGCTCTTTGTTCTCCCTGATTGGATCACCTTACTTGTTACTTTCGCTGGCCAACATTCTCGGTTATCAGCTCACGTCTCCTCGTGGATCAGATGACTACTTCACGAAGGAAGTCGGTCGCAGCGTTTCTTCAAAGGAACACAGAGAACATGTTATCTTCTGGCTGCTCGTCTTCGTTTTGAAGTTGCCCCTGGACTATGTATTGATGATCAGACCGCTTGTCGTTCCGACAAAGGCCATACTGTCGATTGATTTGTACTGCTGGAACTATAACTTTGGCGGTGCAGACTGCGATGCCTACGAGTACAACGAGCTCTTCTCCCCTCGAATCATCGAACTCATTCGGTTGTCGCGGCGACATGGGCTCAGGAGTCTCATGCTGTTCGAACGGTGGATTCCAAACGTCTTGTTGTACTTTGGTAACACATTTTTCTATTTTCTGTTCGTCCTCGGCATTCGAAGTGCGATGAAGGAAATCCGTACCTCGGGCGTCGCGGGGGGCTGGTCACAGACCGTTATTTCACTGCCAAAAGTGGTTGGAATATTCGCTGACAAAGTTCTGACCAACTCACATAAACCCACAACCGCCCCGGATCCAGCTACTGCGTTGTGTGCCGAGGCGATCTCTGAATCGTGGCGATCATTTGCACGAGCTTGGAACGAGATCATCCATTCAATTCGCAGTCGTGACCTGCTCAGCAACGATGAGACTAACTTGCTCCTGTTTAAGATACTCAATGGTCGCGCGAGTGAAAGTTTCTTCGGTTCGCACTATATTATGTTTCCCATAATGCTTACTGGTTCCATCTTCAGCGGCATCGGTTTGCAGCGAAACGAGAAAATGCGCTTCGACTTTTCAGCTGCCGTCATGGCACAAATGGCTGATCTGGTTGCCTTCATCGTAGTTTGCATTCTCGGCGTTGTCGATGCGAGTGACCGTGTGATTTTTGTCGAACTTATGAATTCTCTCACAGAGCTTCTTTCTTTGGGGATCGCTGAGCATTCGGAAACAATCCTGTGGCTCACTACGATGCGCAGCAAGTTTGCGGAGTTGGTGCAGTCACTGAGGAGCGCATCCACAGACTTGAGCCAAGTGAGCGCACAAATCGAGCAAATATTCGTGTTTATCACGTCGGAGATTGCGCAGGATCGCGAGAGCGAACATGCAACTCACAAGCGAACCAACGCACTTATCGTCGAGACGTGCTCCAGGCTCCAAAAGTTGATGCACCTCGATCGATTGGAGTCGACATCGAGCAGAGTGATGGCCGCTGCTTCTTCTCGAGCAGGTTCTAGCGTGCTGGGTCAAATTAGTTTGATGCTATCTACGGCGAATCCGGCTGGTGAACCGTCTGCACAAGAAGCCAAGGATATTCTTCGATTTTTCGTGCGAAGCATCGATCGCTCGTTGCCTAATGCGATGACTGTTCGACAAATGCCGATGCTGACGACCTTGACGCCCGTGTATGCAGAAGAAATCCGCACATCGCTGGACACACTGACACAGAACATCGATGGTGAATCAGTCACGGGGTTCAGATTCATGATCAGTATGGCGCCATCCTCCTGGGAAAATATGATCGAGCGAACTCAGGTGAAAGTGCAAGACTCCAATTACGAGCACTTCTTTGATCGAGCGCTGCTCGAACGAAACACCGCTTTGTCCACGTTCACGGATGAAGAAAAACGCTTCGCACAAGAGTCAGTCAACTGGGCCAGTCTCGAGGGCCAGACACTGTATCGCACGGTAGCCGGGTTCGCGTGTTATGCCGATGCGCTTCGAATATTTGCTCGCATGGAGGGCGTGGCCGAAGAGGACATCGAGCCACTCGTTCAAGCAAAGTTTGAGCATGTCGTGTGCGCACAGGTGTACCAAGCACCTGGTTACACAATGAATGAAGAGATCGAGTCTATCGTCGAAACATTCCCACACGTCAAGGTCAGTTACGTCATGCAACCAAACGCCGAAGATCCGAACTACGCAATCGGCAGGATCGAGCGAGGAACGGACGGCAAGTTCAAGCAAACGCATCGCGTTCAAATTCCGGGCCACCCAATCGTCGGTGAAGGCAAACCTGAAAACCAGAATCTAGGCCTGGTATGGGCACGAGGCAATTACATTCAAACAATCGATATGAATCAAGATGCAAACCTTGCCGAGGGCATGAAGATGCGAAACTTGTTATCTTTGTACCAATCAAATGACGACTTGGTCCTCATCGGGTTCAACGAACGACTTATATCAGGGCGCCAAGGTTCTGTTTCGAGCTTTGCCGCGGTATCGGAAACTGTGTTCGGCACAATGTTACAACATTTTATGGCGAATCCACTCCGAGTTCGCTTACACTACGGACACCCGGACGTTTGGGACGGAGCTTTCGTCCGAAGTTGTGGGGGCGTGTCAAAAGCTACCAGGAAGCTTCATTTGTCAGAAGACGTGTACGGAGGTATGAACGTCCTCCAGCGGGGTGGTATTATCGATCATGTGGCGTTCATATCGTGCGGCAAAGGGCGGGAAGTTTCTTTCGACGGTAACAATCAGTTCAACAAGAAGATCGCCACTGGCAATGGCATGCAGCTTCTTTCTCGCGACTTTTACCGGCTCGCGAGATCGATGGGCATTCTCCGCTGTATGAGCTTCTTCCAGTCTTCGGTTGGAATGTTCTACACCGAATTTTTACTCTTCAACTCGATGTTTGCATTTGTACTGTGCAAGACGATGATCTGCATGTATCAAATCGAAACTTATTTCAAACAGGGTGACGCTTTTGACAATGTCGGCTTCCATCAAGAAGTTGGTATCGAGACGCTCTACCCATCCCAGTGGATGCTGCAAGCTAGTCTCGTCATGGCGTGGCCTGGTATGTTACATGGATGGATTAACGGTGGGTTATTAGACATGATCAAGGATACTTACAACGGACTCATTTCGGGTTCGTTCGTGTACCACATGTTCATCGCCAAGTCGCGCGGTTACTCCATCGATGCATCCATCACATCCGGCGATGCGGTGTATCGTGGCACTAAACGGTCCATGCACATGAACGCGTCGTTTACAGATCTTTACATGCAGTATGCAGCATCGCATATTCTACCATCGTTTACTATCGTCGCCTTGACGGTTTTGCTGACGGCGCTTTCAAGATTCGGTCCGCTGTACGTCCTCATCACGACAACATGGCACGTTTGGCTCGCGGTGTCCATGTGGGTCTTCTCACCGTGGATTTTCCATCCGCAGACGTTTAAGGAAGGTAGCCCTGCCGTAAATTTTACTTCGTGGCTCTTCTGGTTGGACAATCGCAAACATATCAGCCAAGCTCATAGTAAGGACGGTGCATGGCTGACTTGGCATACGAAACAAATGCGATCACTGCGAGCCATGCCACGTCACCTCAAAATTGAGTACATAGCTTTCAGAATCGTACCGCTTCCAGCGTTGCTTTTCCTGTCGGCCATGGTGGCGATCACTGCAGATGATTCGAGTGCTACAGCGCCTCTCCGCGGTGTCGTGGTGTTCACTTCAGGCGTCGCCGGTGTTCTGCTTGCAGGTGTGTACTATATGAGCACATCGCCAGTGTTCCTCTGGCCACAGCGCGTTGTTGCGCTGTGTGAAAAACTGCGTGTTGTGCGGGGTGAAGTTGATAGGCGCATCCTTATCTTACTGTATAACATGACCATCCGAGTTTTCTTGCTAGTGTTTCATATCCAGCTGTGTGAGCGTCTGTTCAGCCAGACTGTGGACATCAACCTTAGGCAAAATAAGGTCATCTTCGTCATGTGTGGTTGCTGTGCGCTTTACTGTGTTGTCTCCGTCTCAAGTATCATCGGAGATAACCCATTGGCCGCTTTCAGAGGTTTAGCGTTCAGTCTCAGAGCGTTCAGCGACTTCTGTTATCGAGATATTGATGAAGTGGTCGGCTTGATATTGCACATCGCTATTGCCACACTGGCTTTGGCGCCAATTTCCTACGTGCACGCGAAGACATTATTTAACAGAGCATACGCCTCGGTTCTTGCCCTGGAGATGCGTCGAAGCGCCTTGGTTGTTACGCTGAATAATAAAATCACTTCGAAGTCGCTTCGAAACTGGTTTTTATCGTCTAGATCGTTTATTCGACGAGTTCTTGGCTTGAAAACAGCTCCTGTTCGATCTTTGAGGCAGGCACCGAGCACCATTCCAGACTTGATGATCGATCTGACGAAAGTCGGAGAAATGACGGTGACGAACGAGAGAGTAACTGAAATTAAACGGCGAGTGCAACCGATCGCTTCGCATCTCGCCGATCTGTTCGGGTTTCAAAAGGCTGCCAAGGACAGGACTTTCACGTCGGAGACTGTAGAAGTCCCCTCTAATCTTTGGAATTCTGTCGAAGCTTTATCTTCATGGTTGGAAAACTTGTTGACACAACGAGAGGACGTGGACAGTTACTCACTCGATCATCTGAATAGATACTGGATCGACGTCGTAAACGAGCTTCACGCTCACCTATTCCAGAACTATAATAGGTGGGGTGCGTTCACTGGCATGGTGGATGCTGTGTCCGCACACGCCAGGAGAGTCGCGGCTACGATGGGCGACGATGCCGCCCTGCCACTTTCGCTGTATATGTCTGATGCAAACGAGCTCTGGACGCGTACTAGTAGAGAACACACCACGTTGATCGAGTTGAACGCAAAACTTCATCATCTGTGCCTGTGGTTCTTGATTTACGGCGAGAGTGCCAATCTTCGTCACATGAGCGAGTGTTTATGTTTTATCTTTCATTCTGCCTTATGTGCCGTCAAACTTGAACGCAGGGTACCAAATGAAGGCGAAGAGCACGTGTTGTGCAAGCCCGTTGCGGAAGAGGTGATGCCGTACGCAGAGAAAGACTACTTGCGTACGATTGTTACTCCGATATTCCTTTTCCTCAAGCGGGAAATTTCAGACAGAAGTAGCGAGCCGGTTTCGGATCGTGTCATGTACGACGACGTGAATGAGTTCTTTTGGCGGTACGACAGACTTGTAAAGTTACTACCGCCCGATAAAGAGCCCGTCAGGAGCGAAGGCGACGCGGATTTCGTCGGTGTTCCTGCACAGATGGCTGGTCTCTCCAGAGATGAGCGCATGTATGAACATCTTCGGTCGTTCATGAGGCGGGTAAACGATTCGGGCGATCCTGCAAATGAACTCAGTGGTATTTTCATTAAAACTCACCGCGAATGCTCTGGATGGCTCAGTATGTTCGTCAACTTCCATTCAATCATCCTTTTCCACGCTGTTGCGTTCCATGTTTCAACCGCTTACGTTTTTGGACACGGTTGGAACTGGTCATATATTTGCACTGCCACGTTGACACATGCATTGTTCAAGTTTACGACGGAGCTCGCCATGTTGCGATTCGTGAACCTCTCGCAAGAGAGATTCGGTGACTGGATGGTGACTGCAACTCGAGCGGGGATGTTCTTGACCATGCCTCTGTTCTACGCCCTGGAATATTCGTTGCGAAGTGATTATGCGACGCCCTACTTCGAAGGTTTGGCGACAGTGTACACTATTGCAAACAGTGGATTAATGTCGAATGTCTTGAGACGCACGACGTTCGTCGGGTCGCCAGTGCAGATGGCTCCACCTTATCGTGAACGTGTTATTTACACGTCTTTCTGGATCGTGGTGCTTGGTACAAAAATTGTATTCGGTCACTTTTTGCTCATCGCTCCACTTCGAGAAGCCGTCAGTGCGTTGCAAAAAGGTGACTTGTGTTGGAACAAAGAGAGCGATGAGTACACATCGTGCATCAACCTCGAGGGGGACGCGCTCGTCCAGGCGCTCAAGTTTGTGCCAAAGATCACGTATTTCACGGAGAAGGACGAAGACGAGGAGGACGAATACAAGGACCTGGATTTGGGCGATTATCAACCCTTACCAGAGCGCCGGCGCAGCCTTCTGTCCTCGCACGCAGGCGGTGGCGACTTCACGGGTGCTTCCTGGGGCGACGTAAGCCAATTTGCGATTGACTCTGAAGTGAATGAATCCGCTGACCCATACAATGGACAGTTTAGAGGCTGGAGTAGTATCGCCGCGAGTCCAACGCCGATGCCGCGCTCTCCACTCGAGTCCGTAGTGTCAAGTGCAGCGGACGCAATTCAAGAGGTCATTGGTTCTAAAAAGTTCCGTCTCCCCGCGCTTGGCTACATCGGTGAAGAAATTGAAGGCCAGCTTCCGGAAGCATACTACGATGTTCACGCCTCTCAGTTCTTGATGACAGTCATGGTCATCGCTCGGATGCTCCCAGCCATCGCAACTTACTTCTGCGATACATTTCTGTGGTACACGTGTTATGCGTCACTATTTACCATATTTCTCCAATGGCAAGGCAAAGTTTCACACGCACAACGATGGGGGAAATTCATTCGCGGGTTTTCGCAAATTCCATCGATGTTCTGCGAGAAGGTGATGAACAAAACATGGCCGAAGCCTGTGGCGATTGACGGAGACTTCACTGCTGACGACAGAGGTGTCAATGACGACAATGAGGAGACGTTCCGTGCAAAAGAGGTAAGGCAGCGATCGGGTGGTGGCATTTACGGTAATGAGTTGAACGAAAATCTTTTGGACGCCGTCGCATTGGCAGTCATAGACGAAGAGATGATCGTTGATGCAAACGTGCAAACATTTGCGAGTCAACCTGCTCATTTCCTGCCTGAGGCGATGGATATCAAATGGCAGCATTTTGCTCGAGGTTGGAATTCTATAGTTGACTCGCTACGCGCTCGTGACCAAATTACAAACAAGGAGTCAGTTGATATGAAGTTCGTATTTCTGCAAGGTCGTGACGTTGAGCAGATTTTTGACGCTCCGGAGTACATCATACTCGCTCCCATGCTGACATCGTCAGTGTTCTCTCAGGTCAGTTTCAGAGCTGGTTCTATGGAGCAATATCCTTGGTTCGGTTCCACACTGATACAAACAAAAGACCTCATGTGCGTGATAATGACTGAGGTTCTCCGTGTTGTTTCACCCGGTGATTTGACGCTTCTGATGCGAGTCGTGAGTGATTTAGCGTCATTGGAAAAAGAGCATGTGTGTCATCGACGCCATGATGATATCGATGCGTACTCGCAGTTGCGCGATGCCATCATCAAGCTACTCCTAACTTTACAAGTGATGGGATCGTCGACCGACGCGACTCCCATCGTTGAAGATCAAGATGAAAACGACGATGAGATGTCTGAAAGCGACGACGACGACGACGAAGAGGCGCAGTTGTTCCTTCTTGGTGATCAGGCTGGGGCCGAAAGGGCCCGACTGAGGAAAGAACAGCGAAGAAAGCGCCGACAGTTGAAAGCTATTCGAGAAAAAGAAAGAATGCGCCAAAAGCAAGTCGTTGAGGCGATTAATCTTGAGATGAAATTCGGTTGCACAGGCATCATCCCCAAAGAAACGCGAAAAAAAATGAAGGAAGGCAAAAGTGGTTTGTTGAGAGGATGCTTCGTTGTTCAAGAAAACTGGGAGGAGTTAACGGAAGAACAACACGCTTTGTTGCAAGGGGACGAAGACAAAACAAGTGTTCGTAAACGCTGGAGAAGAGGACGTCGAAAGCTCATCAAATGGTCAAATATTCAAACGGATGCAGATATTGAGGCGCAGTCTAATACGCTTGCCGAGGCTCTGCACGACATTCTTCTCGCGGTGCGAAAAATATGCGCTTTTGCGATGAAAAGTGATGGCAAGTGGAGCAACTCGAGTAATCAGCGAAAGTATCGAGTGGCGCAGCTTTACTCTCAACTTCTTGAGATGGTGCGCATCGACGCTCTTCGCGACGGTGAACATGTCAGGGTTGTGTCCGCATCGGCCACGCTTCCCACCAATCGGCAGATCGTCAACTCGCTGCTGAATTCCATGAATAACTCAAATCCTGGTGGCGAACCACGAAACCCTGAGGCTCGTCGACAGCTCATGTTCTTCACAAACTCACTCAACTTCACGTCTCTCAAAATGCCAACAAAGTTGCGTAACATGCGAGGTTGGACCGCGTTCACTCCTTATTACGCCGAGGAAGTGTCTTACAGCAAAGACGAGCTTGTGAAACCGCTCGAAGACCAAAAGACGCTGTTCTCCATCATTCGAGCGACCTATCCCGACGAGTATGAGAATTTCAAGGAGAGGATTGGTGCTCTGGCGTACGACGATGCCCGTATATTTGAACAGCACTGGGATGAGCTTCGTGTATGGGCTAGCGACAGGACGCAGTCGCTGAGTCGTTGTGTCCGAGGAATCTGTTACTATGGCACTGCTCTGCGCTTCCTCGCTAGGTTGGAAGGCTACGAGGAGGCTGAAATTGAGACGTTAGTCCAAGACAAGTTTGAGTACTTGGTTTCATGCCAGGTTTATGGAAATATGCTGAACGCACCGTTAGGATCTGAAAATAGAAGAAAGGCAGGCGACATCGATGAACTCATTTTGAGCCATCCGGAGCTCCGTGTTTGCTTTGTGCAAGTACAGTCCGAAAGAGACGCAGAGTTTGCATCTTGCCTTGTTGGGTGCAACCGTGAGTCAAGGGTCCTGTCGATGGCGTGCAAGGTTGAGTTACCCGGAAACCCCATTATAGGAGAAGGCAAGCCCGAAAACCAGAATCACGCTGTTATCTTTAGTCGAGGTGCTTATCTTCAAACTCTAGACATGAACCAAGATGGTTACTTCCCGGAGGCACTGAAGATGCGGAACTTGCTTGATACATTCTCTGAAGATGTTGTTCTGGTCGGTTTCCCAGAAGTAATTTTCAGTGAGACGACGGGAGCGGTGGCGCAATTTGCAGCCATTTCGGAATTCATCTTTCAGACGTTTCAGCGTTTCATGACTTGGCCGCTCATGGTTCGTTTCCACTACGGTCATCCTGACGTGTGGGATAAGGCTTTCACCATGACAAATGGAGGCGTATCAAAGGCTTCCAAGGTGCTTCATGTAGCTGAAGATTTCTTTGGCGGTGTCAACGCTATCTGTCGTGGTGGAAGGGTTCTCTTCGAAGAGTTCATAGAAGTTGGCAAAGGTCGGGATATGGGTTTCACTTCGGTGAACGGGTTTGAACAAAAGATTTCAGGTTCCGCCGGCACGATTTCGATGTCTCGAGACGTATACAGGTTGCATCGTTCTATGGACATGTTCAGAATGATGTCTATGTACTTCAGCGGGCCTGGTTTCTTTATCAGCGTCATGCAAACTGCGTGGTGTGTATATCTGTACATTCTTGTCCACGCCGGTCTTGCCATTGCGGATCTGGAGATTTACCGCGTGTACCGTTATTTCAAGATGACCGAGGCACAAACGACACTCTCATTATCAAAGGAAGAAGGCGGTTACTATAACTCCATTTACGCCATTCAACTGGGCTTACTCACGGTGTTACCTCTCTTCCTGAAGATGATTATGGACAGAGGTTTGAGAGACGGTTTCGAGTACACGGCATCTTCCCTTCTGCGCGGCTCTTGGGCCTTCAACATATTTGCCATGACCACGAAGGGCTACAACTACATGATCGGTCTCCTCTTCGGAAAGGCTCAGTACATCGCCACTGAGCGGGGCTTCGTCCTAAATAACGCTAATATGGTAGTACTCTACGGATTATACGCCAAGTCACACCTGTACACCGGCATGGAAGTATTGTGTCTTCTTCTGCTGTTTCACTGCAACACCGTGCTACCAAAATCAATTCTCTACTCCTGGTCGGTGTGGAGCTTTGCACTATGCATCCTCATGACGCCATGGTGGTTTTCGCCACAAAGCACGAACGCGTATTGGATGCAGAAGAGTTGGATTGACTGGAGACGCTGGCTCGATGGTTCTTTCGACCAGCCCAGGGTAGCAAACGGTTCCTGGCGATCTTGGCACGACTCCATGATTGCAAACTACCGCAACCGAATCGGGATCTTCAACAAATGTGGTGTCCTGATTATGAGCAGTTTCGGACGCATCATGTTAGCGCTCGTCATCACCGGCTCGCTGCATGGCACTGCGCTTTACTCTGGCACGACGCAAACTGAGCAGTTCTACATCAATGTTAGCAGAATGGCGTCAGCAACGGCCGTCACTGGGTTTGTCGCCTTTCTGTATATGTACGCGATGAACTCGGTCTTTTTCGTACGGGAACCCTGGTTAAAATTCCCCGACAAGCTTTGGAAAATCAGCTTTTATCGAGGCCTGGTACGGCTCGGACTCTTCCTCATCTGGAACGGGCTGTACTTTTACGCGTTGCATGTTGACACTGGAAACTACAGCATGCGCCGCACGTGGTTCATGACTGGTCTCGGTTCAACAGCTGTAACTTCCCTAATCATCGAAGCATGTGTCATGCTGAGCGATAGAACCGTGACTAGTTTCGGCGAGAGATTTCTTCCGATTCAAACCGCGGATGGTGAAGCTGAGCCACGCTCAAGCGCTTTGCGCCGCATTGCGAGCCCTTTTGTGTACGGTGCGCGACGCAAACTCTTGCAGGCGCGCGACGCCGCTGACTTTTGGTACAAGGAGCTTGATAAGCTCATGGGGTGCATCATATTCATGATGATATCAATCCTCTCGCTGTTTCCTGTGACAACGATGCAAACTGCTCTCATCTGGAACGAAACATTCAGTGATATCCTGGCGAAGAGGGTGACTGTTCAAGAGACGGTGTCATCGATCTTAGACTAGCAAACTTTAGTATGTATTACAATGTGCAGTCTGTACATCATAAAAGGACGCGGTAAAATCTCACGCGTTCTTCTTCTCAACCTCTCTCGGAGCGCTCCCTGACGACCGCGTCACCCAAACCACGTACGCCAACAACACCGCATTCACAGACAAAATCGCAAACATCCCAGCGCACGTCGCTCTCCCGCTCTCCGTCGCTAACAGTGCCGCGCCGTATCGCTCGTATGCCGCCGGGCAAGCCCATCCACTCGCAACGCGATACGTCACGGCCGGCACCGCGACAAGCGCGATCGCGAACCCGCACAGCGCGCGCACCGCCCGCCGCTCCTCCGCGTTCAACGTCCGACGCGTCCAGCCTCGTCCCCACGATGACTCCGCGCTCGGCGCTCGCGCCGCGTCCGACATAGCTCACGCCCCGAACAAAACCGTACGCTCGTAAAAGACGAAGACGACGACCGCGACGACGACCGCGAACGCCGCGACCCGGTGGACGAATTCCTTCGCCCGCTTCTCGTCCGCCGTTCGCACCCTCGCGTGCGCCGCGCTCGCGCGCGCGCTCGCGCGCGATCCCGCGGGCGCCCACTCTTCGTCCGCGCCCGCGGGTGCGTCCAGGCCCACGAGTTCGCGGTGCGCGCGTCGTCGTCGCGCGCCCATCGATGGGGCGCACCACTCGCGCGCGCGCGATGCCGTCCGATTCCGAGGTCACGCACGGGTGCGACCGCGGTGACGGCGACGGGGGCGATGATGACGCGCGCGCGGGCGTCCCGGACGAGGCGACGACGGCGGTGCTGGAGGAGATTGAGCGACGAATGCGAACGAAGGATTTCATAATGGAACCCGAGGCGATCGACGACGTGAAGCGGTACGTCGCCGCGGGTGGGGCGCCGAGCACGGCGATCGAGACGCTGTCGGATAACTACCGAGGGTACGCGGCGATGACGTCGTTAGCGGTGCAGTGGTTGCGAGTGACGGCGCCGCCGAGGCGCGGGACGTGCACGTCGCCGATGAAGACGAGCGGCGATTCGATGGCGAAGGAGGGGCGGCGAGGGGAAAGCGGGGAGCAGGAAACGCCGCAGGGGCCGAACGCGGATGAGGACGGGGGAGAGGCGTCTTGGGGTTCCGACGCACGATTCGATGAGATGTATTTTTTGGAGACGCTGGCGCGTGAACGGTTCGACGCGAATAAGGCGGACGCGGTGTTTGAGGGACGACCACCGGCGTGGTTGGACGGACTTTTCAGGAGCGAGCGAGGACGGGCGGTGTTGTTCTCACTCGCGGAGAAGAATCCGAATTCCTTGCTGATTTCGTGCGCGATTCAGCACGCTTGGCAACGCGGCATGAGACACGAGGTGCGCGCGCTCGGACCAGCGGCGGCGGCATACTTCAGCATTTTCCACGAACTTATGGCCGATCACATCAACGGAATCGTAGTCTCCGGGACCGATGCTGTCCGTCGGCGTGAATTAATAGAGAGATTGAAGAGTATGTGTTGCCAATCGATCGGCACGTACGTGTTTGGGCAACTCATGTTGGCGTCGTTGGGACGGGACGAAGACGATGCCACAGCTTCAGTGTCGCGCACCATCGCGGCAACGCTGTCGGAAGAGATCGAAGAAGCGGCGGCGAAGCTGCACGGCGCGGCGACAGTCCGTCGCATCGCACCCTGGCTCGCTACGTCGGCCGTAGATGTCTCGGCAAAGTACGCCACGGCCGATTTGCTCAGCTCGCGACCGGTTGGATCGAGCTATTCGGCCGATCGCACTCGCGACATCGGCGCGCTTGCGGCGGGAGATGTGAAAAAGCTGTTAGAAATGTATATTACGAGCGACGAAAAGCCCACGGTGGTACCGCTTCGACATCCGGATGTGCTGTACAACCTCATCGCAGAGGCGTTTAAGTGGACCCCGGACAATGTGAACCGTCTACGCGGTGAATGCTTCGAACTTATTGCGCTCGCCGCAGCGGACGAAAATATAACGTGCGATGAGGTGAAAGACGCGCTCAACGCCGCGGTTGCCGTGATCGAGGATGCCAAGCTCGGCAAGGATCTGGACAAGGCTCAGATGGAGAAGGTGTTCAATGTCCCGGTTGCGTCGGCGGGTATCGTCGCCGCTGTGCGCTCTGCGCTCACGTGCGAGGCGTATCATCGCGTCGTACAGGTTGGAAACACGAATGAAGTGCTTTTACAAATCCTCGCGGACATCGCTCGGAAGCACGTCGCACTCCAAGGCGCCGTACTCGAGGCCTTGACGGCTGTAGTGAACGTGTGTGGTCGCTCGCACGGCGACGAACTCGTCATCGCACTTGTCGACTTGGGATGCGAGCTCGTCGCTGCGGGCCACGTCATCCCCACTATTACTACCGCGTGCGACTCTTGGCGTCGTTCACTGGAGGCGTCACAGATTCGTTACTTTGCGGAGGAGGTGTTGGAGATAGCCGGACCACCGTACAGTCGAGACTTTGCGGTGATCATGATTCACCTCTTGGACTCGTCCAATTATCGAAAGAAAATGTCGAAAACCGTGGATGAGTTCGTGGAAGAGGTTGCTTTGAAGCGCCGGGAGCTCAAGTTGAGCCTATCGGAGGTGAATAAGTTGGACCATCTTTTGAGATGAGTGAAACGCGTAGAGTCGGTTTTTCCGCACATCTGAGCTGTTGTTTATCAAAAAGAGGATCTCTAAACTTGGTGTACAAACTGAATCGCCGTAACTTAACGACCCATTCTGCGCTTCAAGAAAGCGGGGATCCCGCCGCGCGATTCTTCAACCGGCTGCTTGTCAGCGCCGTTGCGCGACGGCGCCGGTTCTTGGTTTTGGCTCCAGCCCTTGATCGGCGTACGACCACCAGTTGGTTGGCTGAAAGACGTTTGTCGAGACGCTTGTCGAGAGACTGGCGCCGCTGCAGCTTGGTTGATGCCCGCCGACGGCGAGAAGCCGGTGGCGATGAGAGTGATGGACACCTCGCCATCGGTGGCGCGGTTACCATCCTTAATCACGGCGCCAAAGATGATGAGCGCCGACGGGTCAACGAGATCATAAATCACCTCTGCGGCTTCGTTCACCTCGTGCAAAGTCAAATCGGAGCCACCGGTGATGTTCCACACGATACCGGTGGCACGATCGATGCCCAGGTCGAGCAACGGAGATGAAATGGCCGCTTCCGCGGCTTCGCGCGCGCGGTTCTTGCCAGATGCTCGGCCGATACCCATGAGAGAAGAACCGGCATCCGCCATGACGGCGCGAACATCGGCGAAATCGACGTTGATTAAGCCCGGCAAAGTAATAATATCGGTTATACCGCGGACGCCTTGACGAAGGATGTCGTCAGCGAGCAAGAAGGCGTCTTGCACAGACAAAGTCGGGTCAACGGCGGCGAGGAGGCGGTCGTTCGGAATGACGATGAGCGTGTCAACGTTTTGGCGCAAACGCTCGACAGCCTCCATCGCTTGGTTGTATCGTTGGCGCCCCTCGAACTTGAACGGCATAGTGACGATACCGACGGTCAAAATACCGGCGGATTTGGCGACTTGAGCGACCACCGGCGCGGCGCCGGATCCGGTGCCTCCACCCATGCCCGCCGTCACGAACACCATATCAGCCCCAGTCAACGCCGCCTCGACCGCCGTTCGGCTCTCTTCCGCCGCCTTTTGACCAATCTCTGGGTTCCCTCCAGCACCGAGACCACGCGTGAGCTCAGCACCGATTTGCAGCTGGTTCGGCGCGTCCACCGCTTGCTGGTCCAGGGCCTGGGCGTCCGTGTTCACGATCCAAAACTCCACCCCCGTGATGTCCGAGTTCTGCATCCGGTTCACCGCGTTCGATCCACCACCGCCGACGCCAATAACCTTTATCGTCGCCGCGTTCGTCGCCGCGCGCGTCACGCATCGCGACGCTCTGCTCGTCGCTCTCGCGCTCCTCGCGCGCGTCGCCTCGCTTCGTCTGTCGGTGGATCGTCGTCCAAAAGTCAGTCTCTGAAATCTCAACGCGCACCCCTCCCCACCCGTCGTCACCGACGCATCGAACGACGTCTTCCCACCCCGCGCGCCCGCGTCCATCACCCCCGTCACGCGCGCGCGCGCCCTCGCGAAGACCGTCGCCCTCGAGGGCACGCGCGCGTTTGAACCGCGTTTAAAAATCATCCGACGCGCCATCCCTCCCGCGCGTCGCGCGTCGTCCCGTCGTCGTCACCGCGCGCGCGCACCTCAACCCACGCGTCGACGCGCGCGTCATCGCGCGCGCGCACGCCATCGCGCCCGTCGTTTCGGTGTGTCGACGTCGCGCGCGCCGGGGGCGCGATCGAATGATTCGCGCGGGGTCTCGAGTCTCCGACACGTCGAGTCATGACCCGTCACGCGTCGTCGACCCGTCGGGGCGTGCGACCGTCGTAGTGCAATCAATATTCACCCGTGTCGTGTGCTGGGCGGCGTGTACGCTAAACCCTACATTCGCGCACGCTAAACCCTAGATTTGAATGCCGACGCGGTCGCTCGCGCCCGCGCCGTCGCCGCGCGCGCGGACGGGCGACGCCGACGCGCGCGATGACGGACGACGCGCGTCGCGCGCGCGCGCGCGAGCTCGTGCGACGGGCGCGGGCGTTGGAGCGCGCGGCGATGGATGCGGTGGATGGGTCGTCGTCGTCGGAATCAACGAGCGAGGAACCGACGGGCGCGCGAGGTGGCGAGCGGTGGACGACGACGCGAGCGAGGTACATGGATTACGAGTGGCGACGGCGCGCGGCGCGCGTGGAGGCGGCGGCGCGGGCGCGGGCGACGCGGGAGGCGGCGGCGAGGCGGCGGCGGACGGGGACGGCGGACGGGACGGCGGGCGGCGAGGTACCGAACGCGGCGAGGCGTGAGCGGAGCGAACGCTTGGCGGGAAGGCACTCGAGGAAAAAGGTGGAGGCGGAGGTGTTGGCGCGGCGGCGAATGGAGGAGACGTTCTCGCCGAGGGTGCACGTCGAGGCGCGGAGGCGAGACGCGAGCGGAGAGACGACGCTGGATAAGCTCGCCAAGCCGAAGACGGCGATGTGGGAACGCGCGGCGAACGAGAAAGCGGCGAGGGATGCAGAGGTTTTCGGAGCGAACTGCACGTTTGCGCCGAAGACGGGGCGGAAACCCAAGGCATCGAGTTCGAAACCAGCGAGCGAGCGGTTGTACGAGCTCGCCGATAAAAAGTTGGAGAGCAGAGAGCGCGAACACGCGCGCTTGGCGGCGGAAGAGATGGGAAACCTGACATTTCGACCGTCGGTCCGATCACCACCGCCAGAGGTTCGTGCGAAGATCGCCAAGGTGCCGCCGCTGCACGAGCGTGTGAACGACGTGTTGCGAGCGAAGGAACGCGTGAAAGAAACGGCTCGAGCCAAGGTCGAGGACGAACTCTCGAAATCGCACACGTTCAAACCGACGCTTAATCCGACGAGCGTGGCGCTGGCAAAGCAGCGCGCTGAGATTGAAAGGTCTATGGCGGACGGCGCCGACGAGCGCACCTCGGCGCCTAGACGTCGGTTCAGAACGGATGACCCTGACGCAGATTTCACGTTCGAGCCAAAGCTCGTGTCCAAGAGTGGGAAAGTTGTCGACGAATTGACGCGAAGAGGGAAGCTGGGCGCTGGGTTTCTCGAGCGGCAGCGAGATTTCAACGAAAAAGTTGCGCGGCGCCGAGCAGAGCAACAGCTCGCGAAGGAAGATGACGAGTGCACATTCACGCCAGACATTGGAAACGCGGGCGAGGTGCTGCGAAGCGGTGGACGATACGTTCGAAACCTCATCGAGACCCCTGAGGAGCGCGCACGACGGCTGGCTTTCGATGATGCGGACATGAAACGGGCGAAGCAGAGCGCTCGCGAACGCGAACACTACGAGCAGTTCACGTACAAGCCCAAACTCAACGAAAAGTCGCGCACGCTCGCTCCGTACGGCAGCGCGATCGATGATCTCGCTCGGGATGAACGACGTGAGCTAGCGCGTAAACGCGCTCAGGCTGAAATCGAGCGAGAGTTCAGGCAAGAGCACACGTTTGAACCTAATCTGGATCGCTCGAGCGACGCGCAGCGAGCCAGACACAAGAGTCAACGCTCGATGGATTATGGCGTGGGTGGCGACGCGGTTAGCGCGCGCATAGATGCGTATCGTCGCGAGAAGGAGATCGCGCTCGAGAATCTCCGCAAGCGAGCTGAGTATCGCGAGCTTGAAGAGTGCACGTTCCGGCCGGAGACGACCACGCTCGACACTCGATCCATGTACTCACCCTCGATATCCAAGGTCAAAGGAGTGGACTCATTCTTGCAAAAGCAAGCCAAAGCACGTCAGATTGAAGAAGAAAAGCGAGAGCGATACGCGAGAGTTTTCTATGAGGAACTGGACGATTTCGATCGCCGACACAGGCGCACAATTCCTGAACCTTTCAGCGTGGCGGAGAACGTGGACGAGAAAGCAGCGCGACGGCGCAAGGCATTGGCGGAAGAGCGAGTCCGTCGTGAGCTCGAGGAGTGCACTTTTGAACCGGCGACGAACGCATCGCGAAGAAGCTAGTATGTATTACACTGTACAAGTACGATATAATCGCTGATTTGTCCGCCACGACAGTCGCTCAACGCACTGCCGGTGCTAATATTGAAATCCCGGCGAACGCGATTGCCGCCCGCTTCTCCATCTCGTTCGCGTCGACGTCTAACAGAGCAGCACCGGCACGTTCGCACGCTATCGACGCGCACGCGACCCCTCTCGCGATGGCTATCAGCAGACTTGCGCCCTCCGCCAGTGCTCCCACCGCGCCTCCAACGAGCGCGTCACCGGCACCGACGAGAGATACAACGTCCGCTCTCACCGCCGGAACGTGCGTGTGTGTCGCTCGAGAAACCTCGCCGTCGCTCGGCGCGCTGGAGACGACCACACCAAGCGGGCCGAGAGTGAGGACTACGTGCTCGCATCCGGCAGCTAAAACCGTGCACACGTCACTCGCGAGAGCATCCAACGCCTCGCTTGCGTTCTTAAACTTGAACTCTGGGTTGAACGGACACGGCGACATGGGTGATCCCTTCGCCCATCCCCGACGAACCCCGTTTGCGAGCTCTCGAAGCTCCGCGGCGTTGGGCGAACAAAACGTCACTCCACGGAGCGGTCGAGCGGCGTCGTCAACTCCGCCTCCCAAGATCCGCGTTGACTTTTCCACGCTCACTGGTTCGTACCAAAGCCACTTATTGAACTTTCTCGCCATCTCTTTCACCGTCTCGATCGCCTCTTGACCGAGATTACCGTCTAAAACCATCCCGCGCGCGTCCCGGCACGCGTTCGCCTGCGAGGCGCACCACGCGCTGTCCACCCCCTCCTCGACGATCTCCACGTCCGCGACGCACGCCGCGATCTCTCCATCACCATCCAGCACCGCTACGACGCGCGCCGTGCGTCCACCCTTCACTATTCGCACGCCATCGTCGCCTCCGCCGCGCGCCCGTCTCGACCACTCCTCGAGCGCCGCGTCTCCATCCGCGTCGTCACCCACCGCGCTCACCAATCGCGTCGACGTCCGCGCGCTCGCGGACGCGCACGCCGTGGCGACGTTCATCCCCACGCCCCCCAGCGCGCTCCACGCGCGTCCGATCGCGGACGTTCCGCGTTTCAGCGCGCCCGCGCGTCCAGCTCGCGCGTGCGCGTCCACGCACGTCCCTCCGAACACCACCACCGACGCGCGCGCGTTCGCCGACGACGCGCGCATCGCGCTTCCGAGCGCGCGCACCCTGCGCGCCGCCGCGCGCTCGGCGTCACGCATCGACATCGACGCCGCCGTCGCGAGCGCCGCACTAGCGCCGCCATCTTTCGACGCGCGTTGACTCGCGACGCGCGCGACGCGCGCTTCACGACCGCGGTGATCGCCGGACGTCGTCGTCGCGATGACGCCGTCCGCCAAGCCGGTCGGCGTCGACCGCGGCGGACGCAGGGAGGACGCCAACGCGCTGGCGAGAGCGCTGTTTCTCTGGGTCACGCCTTTTTTGCGTCGCGGCGTCGACGCGAACGCGGGCCGACGGCCGGCGATGGAGATGGGTGATCTGCTGCGACCGCCCGAGGCGTACGTGGCGCGATATAACTCGGAGTTGTTCGAGCGGGAGATGTTGGAGCGGTTGCGGCGGGTCGAGGCGGAGGCGGCGGCGGAAGAGACGGAAGGCGCGAACGCGGAGAGCGAGAAAAAGCGAGCAAAGCGGTTTCGATTGCCGGCGCTTGTGTCGCCACTGTGGCGAACTTTCGGCGGCGTGGTGCTCACTGGATCGTTCTTTAAGCTGTGCAACGACGTCATTCAGTTTCTCCCGCCGTTGGTCCTGAGCGGATTTCTTCGGTACATCGCGCGAAAGCAAAATTTCATGGAGGAAGCGTTCGGGTCGTCGCTGAGTGAGACTTCGATCGGGATTTTGTATTGTGCGCTCATGTTCGCGCTGGCGGTGCTTCGAACTGTGTGCGAGCAGACGTACTTTTACTACGCCCAGGCGAGCGGAATCTGTATCAAGGGCGCGCTCTCCACGGCTGTGTACAGGAAGACGATGCGTCTTTCGAGCGCAGGGAGGAGCGGGAGCACGACCGGGGAGGTGTTAAATCACATGCAGCTTGATGCGCAGCGTGTGGGGGATCTCATGCTGTTTGTCAACGTCCTTTGGAGCGGGCTATTGCAAATCATCGGCTACATGGCTTTGTTGTACATGTACATCGGATGGAGCGTGTTCGGTGGATTCGCAATCATGGTTGGCCTGATTCCGCTACAGAAGAAGTTCTACGACCTCACTTTTCGATATAGAAAGGCGCAAACCACGGAGACCGATCGTCGAGTGAAGTTTGAGAACGAGGGGTTGAGTGGAATCAAGATTCTCAAACTCAACGCCTGGGAACAATCGCTCCAAGCGGAGGTCTCCGCCGTGCGAAAACGAGAGATGGTTGAGGCTACAAAAGTCGCCAATGTCGGCGCCGCGAACACGGCAATTATGATGGCCGGTCCGACTATTGTTTCCGTTGTCGTCTTCGCGCTCTATGCCGGCGTGATGAACCGCCCCATGACGGCAGACGTCATCTTTCCAGCGCTCACTTTGTTTTCTTTGCTTAGATTTCCAGTCATGTTTTACCCTCGATGTCTCGCTCTGTGTGCGGACGCCTTCGTGTCCTTGGATAGATTACTGAAGTATTTCATGCTCTCCGAGTCGTCATCGACGACGAAAACCGTCGAATTCGAGCGTATAGAAGATATCGATCAAGCAGTGACAACGAAGAAGACTGGCTCGAAGGGTGATGTGCTCGCTCGCATAACAAATGGCAACTTTTCATGGGCAGAGCCGAGAACGGTCGCCACGAAGAAACAAGAGGCGAAGGCGAAAGAAAACGAAATCGAAGATAAGGACGAAGAGTCGAAGATTGACCCAACTTTACCCTTTTTACGCGATATTAACTTGGAGCTCAGGCGAGGCGAGCTGACTGTCGTCGTAGGCGCCGTAGGCGCTGGCAAGACGGCGCTCATCTCTGCGTTGCTGGGTGAAATGAGCGCTAACGAAGGAACCGAAGTGATCATTGATGCCACCGTCTCTTATGTAGCACAGACTGCTTGGGTTCAATCGATGTCTCTCCGCGAAAACGTGCTATTTGGTAAGGCGTACGATGAGAACAAGTATCATCAAGCGCTTGAAGCGGCATGCATGGAAACAGATATTGATCTACTGCCGAATGGTGACAACACGGAGATTGGTGAGAAAGGTATCACTTTGAGTGGTGGTCAAAAGCAGCGCACAGCGATTGCTCGCGCGGTTTACGCCGACGCTGATCTCGCGATTTTGGATGACCCGCTGTCAGCCCTTGATGCGCATGTTTCCAAGGATGTTTTTAAGCGATGCATACGCGGCGTCCTTCGTCGCAACTCCGTCTTGCTCGTTACCCACGCGCTTCAATTCACGGAGTTTGCGGATAACATTCTAGTCATGAAGGACGGGCGAGTAGTCGCGTCCGGCACGTACAGCGATCTCATGGAACGTGACTCGTCGTTTCAGTCGATGATGCGATCGTATCGCGGTCATCATGACGAACAGACACCGAAGGAAGAAGAGATGGTGGATACGGCAGTGAGTGACGGCATGAAGAAGACAATGTCCAGTATGAGGGAAAAGGCAAAGCAGAACATCGAAAGACGTGAGGAGGGATCGGTTAAAATGAACGTGTACAAGGCTTACATCAAGGCGATGGGAGGTGGTGTTTGGACATTCAGTCTCCTCATGTTCATCACGGTTGCCGAGCGAGCGCTGAGTGTTTTCACGAACGTTTGGTTAGCGTATTGGTCGCAATCGAAGTGGAATCTCGGAGAGACGGTGTATCTAACCGGATACAGCGCAATAGGCATCATCTCGGCAATCGTAGCTTGGGGCCGCACCTTTGCGTGGATAGTGGCATCACTCACGGCGGCTACAAACCTGCACCTGAAGCTTCTCGACGCGGTCATGAACACGAGGATGGGCTTCTTTGATACCACACCGCTCGGTCGAATCATTCAGAGATTCAGCAAAGATACGAACGCACTGGACAACATTTTAGGGCAATCGGTCTCGAGCGTCATGTCATTTAGTTTGCTCCTCTTCGGCACCATCGTTGTGATGGGCTGGGTCATGCCGATTTTGATGCCGTTCTTGATCCCAATTTTCGGTGTCTATTTTTACATTCAGAAGTATTATCGCCCTGGCTATCGTGAAGCCAAACGTTTAGACGCGATCAGTGGATCTCCCGTTTTCGCGCACTTTGGAGAGACGCTCGGAGGCTTGAGCACGATTCGAGCCTTTGGTCATCAGAGGCGATTCATCACCGAAAACGAGAGGCGCATCGGTACCAACCAGATTGCCGACTACACACAAAAGTGCGGATGTGAGCGCTGGCTTCCTATTCGTCTAGAGACGATCGGAAACTCGATGACTCTCGTCGTCGCTGGGATTGGGGTGTACCAACGCAAAACGCTCGACGCGGCGCTCATCGGCTTGGCGCTCACTTACGCCATCGATATCACGGGTGTTCTCTCGTGGGTGATTCGCATTGTCTCAGAACTTGAGTCACAAATGGTGAGCGTCGAGCGCGTCGACGAGTACACTAAGCTTCCGTCCGAGGAGAGTACTGGGGCGATGGCTCAGCATGGAGTCATCGAGGAACCGCCCAAGGAATGGCCCGCGCACGGTGCGCTCAGATTTGAAAAGTTGGAGATGCGCTACAGACCTGAGCTTCCGCTAGTTCTTAAGGGCGTATCCTTCGCGGTTAACCCTGGACATAAAGTGGGTATCTGCGGTAGAACTGGTAGCGGTAAGAGTTCTTTGCTCGTAGCCTTGTGGCGCTTGTGCGAACCATCTGGTGGATCAATCTGGCTTGACGGCGTCGACATCTCCACAATCTCTCTCCAAAGACTTCGTTCTTCAGTGACGTGCATCCCACAAGATCCCGTGCTGTTCAGTGGAACGATTCGTTACAACCTTGATCCCTTTGATCAGTACACGGATGATAAGTTGTGGTACGCGCTGGAGCACGCGCAGTGCAAGGATTTCATCAGTGCTCAGGGACTTGGTCTCGATGCTCCTGTGGAAGAATTCGGTGGAAACTACTCAGCTGGCCAGAGGCAAATGTTGTGCCTCGCCCGAGCACTCCTTCGCGACTCCAAAGTCGTGTGTCTCGACGAGGCCACGGCGAGTGTGGACACGGAGACGGATGCCGCCATGCAAAAGGTCATCGGCGAGGAGTTCCAATCTTGCACCATTCTCACCATCGCTCATCGCATTATCACCATTATCGAAAACGATCAAGTCGTGTGCCTTGAAGCGGGCAATATCGTCGCCATGGACTCACCATCGGCCATGCTCGCCGACTCTAACTCCATCTTCGCCCAACTCGTTGCCGAAACCGGCTCGGCATCCGCGAAAAATCTCAAGGACCTCGCGGACGCCGCCGAGGCGGCCAGGCAGCGAAACTTACGAGACATATCTCGCACGCATCTAGATTCGCACATTTGTTAGCAGATTCATTCACCGTTTTGATGTCGCCGCAACACGTTCGGCGCCGCTGCGGGACATACCCTCACTGCGCAAAGCGCGCACCATGCTCGCCCTCGCGCGAAGCGCCCGCGCGATTCGTCCCCCATCCAGCCGTGCCATCGCTTCTACTTCATCTACGCGCCTGAACGAAGACGACAAGGACGGCGGGAAAACGATCGAAATCATCGAGGCTAATCTGGTGCGCCCGCTCGAGCTCTCTCGTCAACCTCTTCTCACCGCTCGCCGCTTCTCGTCGTGTAGGATCGCAAAAAAGGCGAGTTTCAAAAGAAGGACGAGACGCATGTTCGTGCGGCGCTGCTTACGACGCGAAAAGAGGCGCTGAGTCTGTACCGCGCGGTGATTCGAGCGAGCGTGTTCTTCGTCTGGCGAGACGAGCGTGGACGTCAGTGGCGGGACGTGATTCGAGAGAGCGCTCGGAAGGAGTTCGAAGCGGGCAGACGAGAGCGGGATCCGGAAATGGTGAACAGGATGCTCCTCATGGGACGAGACGCGGTGGACAAGGCGGTGAATAGATTTTTAGAGAAGCGAGAGGCGATTCAGCGAGAGGAGGACGCGTGCAGCAGCCAGGGCGGTGAACCGTCGCCTTCGTGAGTGGATGACTTGCACAGGCGAGGTCGATGCCTGTGGTTACGTATTAGACGCGATTGGCGCGGCGAAAACGATCAGTATCGGACGTTCGAGATGGCAACGCATAATGGCCACGTCAATGTTAACGCCGCACACCAAATTTAGTACAACCGTAGTAGTGCACGGTAGTAGTGCCTCGATGTCCGGCGCCACTCGTCGCGTCGTCGAGTTCACGATTCAACACTCACTCTCGACCTCGCGTGACGACCAATCGAGCCCCGCGATGTCGACCGAAGACTCGCCCACGTCTCGCGCGTCTCGCCTCAGACGTCGGCTCGTCGCGCTCAAGCGCACCGCACACGACGTCGCATCGAGTTCCATCGCACATCCGGCCCTCGACGTCGTCATCGACGCCGCCGCAACGCGTGCGTGCGCCATCGCCGCCGACGCGCGCGCGCGAGCGGTGCTCGAGCGCGCCGAGAGCGAGCTCGCGACGCTTCGTATCGCCAACCAACGAAATGCCCAGACTTTGGCTCGAGACGCGCGCGCGTTCGCAACGTCCACGTGCGCGTTCAACGCGACGCGCGTCGGCGTCGATGTGGTTTGGAACTTCCCGAGTGGTCGCGTCGAGCCGAGGACAGCGGTGACGTGGACGAAGATGCGGGTGCTTCGCGCGGTGGAGGTGGGAGCGCGTCGCGCGCGCGTTCGAGCCGAACGAGCCCGAGCGGCGATGACGAGGGACGACGGCGCGGACGAAAACGTGGACGAGGACGGTGCGCGTGAAGACGCGATGGATGTCAATGATGTTGACGAGGAGGATTCGTCGTACACGTGCGCGGAGGTGGTGTATCCGCGACGGGCGATGACGCAGTGCGGAGCTTTTCGCGCGATGGCAATTTCTGCGAGAGACGCGTTCAATGCCTCGTTCCTTGCCGCGGTCGAGCGACGACGAGAGATCGTCGAGCGTTTGCGATCCATTGACCGTCGCGTGGCGATCGCGCGCAAGATGCTCAATGAGCTCGGAGAAACCGCGGCGGAACCGGACGTGCTCGCGGAGTGGTGGGACGGCGACGCGATGCGATTGGCAATGCGATGCGGCGACGACACTGAGTTCCGTCTGGAAACGGTCGTTCGTCGCGAAGGAGACCTCAAGGATGAATTCAATGACAATATGGTCTTGCCTTCGGACCGTGACGTGAGCGCGAACGAGAACTCGTCCTCACGCGCCGTGTCAAAACTGAGGACGATGATGGGCGAGGATATCGCTGACGATGCGGGCATCATCGATTTCGAGGCGTGCGACAAGCGACAGGGATACGACGTCGCTCTGACCGCCGCGTCGATCGTCAATCGTCCCGATTTCCTGGATGATATCTTTCATGAAGCCAACACTGATAAGAACTCGGACGATATGCACCAAAAGAAGCTATCGGCAACGAACAGAAAGGCGCTCACTGCTGAACAGACAGTTCGCTTGACGGAGTATGAAAACGCGCTGGAAGCGGTGCGAGCCGCGCGCGACGAGCGACGAAACGCGCTTCGAGGCGAGATTCGACGACTACTTCAAGAGGCGACCGATATCACGACAATGTTTGATGAACGTGTACGAGTACTCGCATGCGAACGACGCGATACAGCGTTCCAAATGTTAATGCTCGATTTGCGCCGGGGGCGAATCGCACGGCGACTTCACGAGCGCTTCATCGCCGGTGATTTCGACGGGAGAGTTGAAGAGGAGGCTCACCAGGTTCGACTCGTCGTCGAGCACGCGCAGAGATCGAGTAAAGCGGTCCGGGATTACACAGATTCGATCGAGCGATCCAAGTCGGATCTCGACGCGGCGGTGCTCGCAGTGAAATCCGCGCTCAAAGCTTTTCGGAGAGACGTGCAGGATAATCCCGCCTCGTGCGTGCACCTCGACGCGCTCGTGATGCTGTACCAACACCCGGACGCCATCGCACGCGTAGAAGATAACGTCCCGGGCGACAGACGGCGTGTGGGGGTGTTCCCCCAAGGATTGGACGATAGATGGTGGGATAAATTGACCGCCGCTCGATCGCGTCGATTTGCGCTCGAGCGTGAGCTCGCGTCCATGCGCGAGGCACATGCGAAAACGTCGGCTCACATGCGCGAGCTCGAGGCTGACGCTAGAAACGCTCAAAGTCGTGCGGACGCGCAAACGGAGGCGCTACACGCGTCGCGTTGTGCGCGTCGCATTCGGGCGTACGACGTTGACGTCAGATTAGACTGCTCGCGTGGATTCATCGAAATCCCCCTGGTGAGCGTCGCAGACGCTGTAGAGCACGATGACGTCATTGTGATCCCGAGATCACGCATCGACGACTTGAACGAAAGACTACGCGCGTCGCACGCGGCGAAGATTCGCGGCGAAGATTCTCGTGCAGCGACGAGAGACGATATTGAACACGTCAAGTGGGAAATCCAAGCACTAGACCTGCGATGCGAGGACATCTCCGCCAGGTGCACCGAGGTTGCGCTCCTTCGAGTCAGCAAACGGCTACAACGATTTCTCGCCGCGCACGAGACGACGAAGAGTGATGAGGATGAATCGTCCGGACGAACGACGATCGCCGCTACGCTCCGTGAGGACGTGAGCGAGGTGGCGGCGCTCGCCGGCCGTGTCGATCGAAACGCCCGTCTTCATGCGGAGCGAACGCAAAGATATCGACGAGATCTCGAAAATCTCGCGCGAAAAGAGCGTCGATTACGCAATTATATAACTCGTACCGAGCGCGAGATCGGCGGGACGGAAATCGCCATGAAGATGTGAAAAATCAGGGCATCCGTCGGAGCGTTCGGCAAAATTTGAAGCCAACCCCAGTTCGCGACTCGGCGTAATCATCATCGCCAAATCATGTCCGCATCATCGCTCGCGTTGACGCGCGCGTCGATCGCACACAGATCGATGTCATCGACGCGCGCGCGTCGATGTGCGCCCACTCGAAACACCGTCGCGTCGTCGGCGTCTTCTTCGGCGTCTGACCTCGAAGCCATGCGCGGCGTCTCCGTGTGCGTCGTCGGTGACAACGAGCGCGCCAACGACGGCGTCGCCCGCGCGCTCGCCAAGCGATTCGGGTACGCGTGCGTCTCCGTTCCGGCGCTCGTGGAGAGCGCGGCGAGTGCGGTGAATGACGAGGATGAGGATGATGAGTCGGCGGCGGCGTCTCCAGAGGCGAAGCGTTTGATGCTGGAGAACAGCGCGCACGAACAGCTGTCGACGTACTTGAGATTGTGCGTCGCGACGAGCGGCGGTGGACGCGGGGCGACGGCGCGCGGGGACTGTTGGACGTGGTTGTTTGGGATGATCACGGTTTGGGTGGACGAGGAGGGTGCGGACGAGACGGCACCGCAGCGCGAGGCGTACGAACTCAGCGAGGTTCGAGTGGTAGTTTCCAAGGGTAAAGATGATTACGAGAGCGTGGCCGATCGCGTGATGGATGGAATAAAGACCTTGTTGGACGCGGACGCGGATATTTGCGGACGGAAGAACCTGTACATTCGGTTCGGGTGCAGAGGCGACTGGCCGAATTTGCAGCCACCAGGCGAGTGGAAGGGCGAGTTGGAAGGCGGAGATGCGGGTGGAGAAAACGGCGCGACGTGACTCATCATACTAACTAGTTATGGTGTAATACTGGTTTATTGCAAATCGCTCGGCAACTCGGCATCGCTCAGATCGATCTTCCGCCTAGAGAGCATGTTGCGCGTGTTTATCTTCTCAAGCAGCTCAAAATCTTCCCTGATACCGACGCTCGGGGTGGCGTCGACCACCTTGAACTGCACCTCCGTCGACGATTTTGAATCCGGTTCCGCCACTCGAAGCTTTCCAAAATTTCCTATTCCTAAACCGGCGTACCATCGGTATGCCTTGGGCGATTCCTCCCACGGATTGAAAACCACGCGGTCGACGCACCCGGTTTCGCCCGAAAGGTTTTGAGCGTACACGGTGCACCCGGTTCCGACCTCGACGCCCGTGTTGTGATCATTCGTACACAGGTACGTCTTATCCGTCGGTCCGGTGAGCTTGAAACATCTCTCCGACATGGCGTCCAAATCCTTGGTGAAGCGCACGCGCGGCTTGGTCGAGTGCAGCTTCTTGTCGAGGTAGACGCAGTCTTCGAAACCGATAAAATAGACATCTCCGTGGTGGGCATCGGACACCGCGATGTGGGCGTTGTGGCCGAGAGGGTATTCGAATTTGGACGATCCCGTGTTGTGCACGGTGGTCTTCATCTTCAGCGCGTTGTGCGACGCCAAGGAGATTTCCACGGACAGCTTGAATGTTGAGTCCGCGTTATCGCCCGCTAACTCGATAGTGACAAATGGCGTATCGTCAGCAACGGTTCCCGTCTCGATGATCCGGAATTCGGACTTGCTCGTGATTCCCGGAAACTGCATCGAAATCCCTCCTGGCTTTTCCGAGTTCCCGTCGTCGTAAAACAAAACTTCTCCTCCGTTCGCCATCACCCACGACCCCACCGTGAGCGATCCCTTGAGATACACATCCGCATAGGATCCAGATGGGTGCATTAACTGCACCTTGGTGGCACCGGATCTTCCTTCGGTGACGCGCACGCGTTCGCCGACGTTGAATTCCTTCGCCAGGGCGAGCGTCACCGCCGAGGTTTCTGATGAACTACTCGACGTACCCCCGATTTCCCCCTTAATCGCTCCAATAAACGCATTGATCTCTTCCGGTCGTCGTCCGGCGTCCAGAGGCTGCGCGGCTCGCGCTTCGTCGCGCGAATCGCGCACGAATTTCGGCGGGTCCTGGGACGACGCGGCGGTGGTGGACACGGATGTTCGTCGACCGTGGTGCCGCGACGTCGCGCGACGACGGAACGCGCGGGGCGACGCGTGGCCGCTGATAGCGGTGGGTCCGACGCGCACGCGCGCGGTCATCGGTCGCGTCGGTGACTGCGGGGACGCGTCGCGTCGCGCGCGGGGGGGCGCGGTCCTCGCGCCGCCGGAAGACACAAAGCACCCGTAAGTTTTGCGACACCTCTTGAGCGCGGTTTGTCGGACCACGATTCACTTGGTGACCAGTAATGACTCGACGACGAGTGGCTCCGAGGACTCCACCGGGGTCTCGACTCCACGCGTCGGACGCAGTGCAGCGGAATTAACTCAGTTGGTTAGAGTGCAGGTCTCATAGCAAAACAAAATACTGCAATATGGGCATCGCGAGGTGCTTCGTATCTACCAGCCACAAAACTTCACCGAGCGAACGCTCGCGCACGACACGTCGTGCTCCAAGATTGACTCTCGAGAGTTATCCTGAAGTCGCCAGTTCGATCCTGGCATTCCGCATTTCTTTTTGCATATTCGTTCCCTCGTTAAGTTACAAGTTACGCGTACGCTCGCTCCGCGCCCTCCAACGTGTTCTGCAGCAAAATCGCGATGGTCATTGGCCCGACGCCGCCCGGCACCGGCGTGATGTGCCCGGCAACCTCCTTCGCGGAATCAAACTCGACGTCACCGACGAGTCGGTACCCGAGTTTCTTACTCGGATCATCTTTGGCGTTGATCCCGACGTCGATCACGGCGCACCCGGGCTTGAGCCACGAACCCTTGACCATCTCCATCTGTCCGCACGCGGCGATGACGATGTCGGCGCGGCGGCAGATTTCCTCCGGGTTCGGCGTTCTCGAGTGTACGATGGTGACCGTGGCGTCGCGTCGTTGAAGTAACAGCGCCGCAGGTGTCCCCACGACATTGGATCGCCCGACGACGACAGCTTCCTTGCCCGCGATTGGAATGCCCGTACGCTCGAGCAGTTCGATGCACCCGCGCGGCGTGCACGGCACGAACAGCGGCTCGCGCCCGCGCTGAGAGAGCCGGCCAATGTTTAGAGGGTGAAATCCATCGACGTCCTTCTCGTAACTGATCGCCCCGAGCACGCGCTCCTCGTTGATGTGCTTGGGCATGGGCAGTTGCACGAGGATCCCGTGCACGTTTGGGTCGGCGTTGTACGCCTCCACCACCGCCAGGACCTCGTCCTCCGTCGCGTCCTCCGGAAGATCCGTTCCGAACGACTCGATGCCCGCCTCTTCGCACGCTTTCTTTTTACTCCTCACGTACGTCTGCGAGTCCTTGCGTTCGCCCACGAGCACCACCGCCAGTCCCGGGACTTTCCCGGTTCGCGTCCGCATGGCCGCAACCTTCTCTCGCACCTCCTCTCGCACCGCCTGCGCGATCGCCTTGCCGTCGATGATCGTCGCCGACATCGCGCGGACGCGCACGACGCCGCGTCCCGACGACGAGACGCGTGCGCGGTGCGCCGGCGCGCTCAGCGTCCGGTTCGTCGGGACGGAAGACGCACCGCGCGTGGCGACGCGCGCGCCGAGCCCGCGAGCGACGCGCGCGGTGGACGCCATGGCTTCGATCGCGCTCGACGGCGAGGAACGCGCGAGACGGGCGCTCGACGACGCCGGGGAGTGCGGTCTGACAATGCCGCCACCAGTGTCACATTCGATTAACGCCATCGCCGCGGCGAACGCTCGCCGATGACGCGATCGAACGCGATTGGACGACGACTCTAACGAAGATCGAGCTAATTGAAGCGATTACACGGCTACTAGGTAAGAATGCGGTTTCGACGAATGGGCTACGAAGTAAGTCTCGATGCGCGACGGCCTAGCGCGCCTCGGAGACCTTTTCGACCCCAGACATGCCTTCCTCAGCCGCCGCCCGTTGCACCGCGCGCGGCGTGTACATGGCGTGTCGCTTGTCCTTACGCGTCGGTTGACCGTCGGCGCGACCGGATCGGTCGACCGCATCAACGACAGTGACGTACTTCTTCTTGTTCGCGCCAACCTTGAAGTGCACCTCGCCGTCGCGAAGCGCGAAGAGGGTGAAATCTTTACCGGTGCCGACACCGTCACCCGCGTGGAACTGTGAATCGCGTAAAAAGTCCATCGTCAGTCACCTTCTTCACCCACATCGCGCGTCGACATCAAAACATCGGCGTCGTCGACCCCTCTCGCCGCGCGCGCGAAACCCTCAACCCTCGAGCGCGTCGCGCGCGCCTCCCTCGCCTCGCCTCGATGCCCCTCTCGCGTCGTCTTCTCGTACCTTGTTCCCAACCTGTCGGACGATGATCGAGCCCACCGTGACCTTCTCCTCGCCGTACTTCTTCACCCCGAGGTACTGCGGATTGGAATCGCGGCCATTCTTCGTGGACCCCGTCCCTTTCTTGTGCGCGCACTCGATGACGGCGGCGCGGCGCTTTCGTTCTCCGGCGACGTTGGGGACGACGCGGAGGGCGGTGGTGGAGATCTTGGAGCTCAGAGAGGCGAACATCGCGCGTGGGCGAAGACGCGCGAGGACGAGTGGGGCGGTGTGGGGTCGATTCCACAAAGTGGGGTCACGATGGGCGACGTCATCCGAATTAGGTCTTTCCCATCGCGCGCGCGACGGCCTGGCGAGACGCGAACGGTTTGAGTCGCGTGTTAACACAAAGATCGTCTAGCAGGGAACGCCGAGGGCGTGTGAGACGGCGGTCTTGGCGATGCTCTTCGTTCCCGCCGCCTTGATCACGGCGTCAGTGTCGAGGGCGAGCTGGAGGCGACGGGCGCGGACAAAGGCCAAGACGCGCTCGGCGACGGGCGCAGAGGCGCCGTGCGCGCTCGCCTTGACGAGACCACCGCATAGTTGTAAGCAGGTTTCGCGCGCCAATGCGTTAGCGCGAGCGATCGGCGCCTCTGTGGCGGCGAGCTCAGCCTCGTGTTGGGCGATCTCCTCCACCGCCTGTGCCTCAGCTGCTGCCGCTTGCTGCGCCTCGTACGACCGACCCTGGGCAGAGAGCTCCTCGGCGGCACGACCAGCACCCGAGGCCTCAGCCTCGGCGGCACGAATCTTACTCACCAGTGCACTTCGCTTTCCAACCACGCTCGCCTCGGAGGCGCACACGAAGTCACACACGGTGGATGCAATCTCGTACGTGTCATCCTCGCCGAACACCGCCGCGCGCTGCACCACCCAGTTCACCACCGCGGATGGCGCGACTAAATCAAGAGCTAATAAACGTTCGACCGCGATAGGGGCCATCTGATAGTGACCACGCCAGATCCCGACCGCGGCGTCGACGGCGACCTCGCCGCCAGCCTTTTCAACCAACTCACGAATCGGCGCGGCGTATCGCTTGAGCAAAACGTCGTGGTGCGTGATGCACTTTTGTCCGCGCTCGAGCGCGGCGACGACGAGTGATCGAAGCAAAACCTCCGGACTTGCCATAGTCGCTCCCTCGGAGCCGATCCATTGGACGACCTCGTACCCCTGTCGCTTCTCAGCGAGCATTTGCTGAAGCTTTCCAAAAGTGGGGTCGGCCGCCGTCTCGGCAATGTACTCGGCGTTCACGCCTCTACCGGTTGGCAGGAGCGGTCGGAGCTCCTCGATAAGACTCTTTTCAACGCGTTCGATGAAACTGAGTTGGCACAATTTCTTCAGTGCGTCCACGACGAACGCGCGCTGGGGTGCGTCCTCCTGTTGCTCCATCACGTGCTTCCAGCTCGACCAGGGCCAAACCAAATCAAAGCACGAAACTTGGTGCGCGAGCCAGCTTGCGAGACGATCGCGCGCGGTCACGTCCATGCGATCGATCGACCTGAACATCATACCCGCCGTTTTTGCCATCTTTGGCGGGAACGTGGGGATGATCTTGCACAAGTCTTGGATGACGATATGGTAGAAGACGGGCGAAAACGTCGGCTCTGGGAGCGCAAGCAACTCGGCAAACAAAGTCTCAGCCACCAAGAACTGACACTGCTCGGGCTGCTCTGCGGGAAGAGGAAGCGACGCCAGCTGCTCAGCGGCCGGAATGGTCGCAGTTCGACGATATCCTGGCTCGAATGCCCAGATGGTGTCCACGATGTACTCCTCCGCAACGAAACGCTCAAGCGGACCCCACGCGTCGACATTACCCGTGCCCTCGGTAAAGCTCGGGTCCAAAATTCTGTGCGAACGAATGAAATTTGTAAGTCGCTTCGGTCAGTCACCGCGTTCGACGGCGAGAGCTCGGTTCACCCCTCGAGCGGCGCTCGGCTCGTTGAACGTTTTCTCATATCAGCGCGAGGTCAGTGGATTAACGAGATATATAAAGTAAATCTTCATCGCCGATCGGACATTCGACATCGCGATTGTTCTTAAGCGCACCTTAGCATCGATCGACCGGGGTATCGCGCCGCAGCTTCGGCATGACTCGCGAACTCGACGGTCGAAATGGTCACGTCTCCAAGAGCATGCGCGTTGGTTGTGCTCGCCAACTCCTCGACGAATTGCTCGGCAATGGTGGGAATGGAGGCGATCTTCCAAATACCATCCGTGTGCGCCGCACTCAGGCGAGCGCACATGTCCGCGAACCAATCCGTCTCCGTGCCGTCCACAGACTTAACGATGACGGACGCCGGGTCTGGATTGGCGGAGCGCGTCTTGCAGTACGCGTCCGCCGCGTCCAACAGTCCCTCGAACTCGTTCGAGCACTCAGACTTGGACAAGAATTCCCCACCCCACGGAAGCGCGGACAGAGCGACGTATGCGAGCCAATCTGCCCGCGGCTGCCATCCCGTCGCGCCCTTCTTCGCGAGCGCCTGCGACTCCTTCAGCAGCGAATCCAAATACCTCATCACGTCCATCCTTTGCACAGCGCCCACAGTGCTCAGGAGCACTAAAAACCTCGTCAACACCCGCGCGCGAGTGCGCTGGGTGAGATCACCCCCGTTCAGCGCCTCCTCGAGCGCCGTCTTTGTCTCCTCCACGACGCGTCCACCGAACTCCCCGGCGGTGGCGTTGATCAACCCCACCAGCGTCGCGTACACCGGCGTCTTGACCGGCAGCTCCGTGACGCACTCCATCACAAAACCCATCGCGTGCTCGCACAGCGTTTCACCCTCGCGCGCGATGTCTCCGGAGAGGCCGCGTAAGACGTCCGCGGAGCCGTCGCAGTGAATGATCACGTCCCGGAGCTCTCGAAGATCATCCTCGTTCGGTCCATCAACGCCGTGCGAGCCGTCCTAATCGCGCGTAAATCACGTAACGACGTCAGCGTGACGCACCGACCCCCCCCCGCGCGCAAAGACCGCGCGCATCATCCCCGAGACCGCGTGTCACATCGAATCCACGCCTCGAGCTCGATCTCCTCGACGCGCGCATCGCTTCACCCCCGCCCACGCGCGCGCGCGCGCCGCGAACGCGGCGCACATCGACGCACCTCACGCCGCGCGCGCTTCGCGTGCGACATGTCCCGTCTCAAATCACCTCCGTCGACGTCTCCGGTCGCCCGCGTCGACGCATTCGTACATTTGTCACGCGTGAGCCCGAGAGGTTTTCACCGCCGTGGCGAAAAATCCCACACGCGCGCGCGTCGCACGCGCGGCACACCGCGTCGCAAGCGTCGAGCGCGCGTCCTCGGGTGCGTCGGACGTACATCTCGCGCGTCGTCGCGTCGCGCGCGCGTCGGGCGCGGTCGCGGCGGCGGCGGTCGCGATGTTCACGCGCGCGTCGGTGGGGCGATTGGTGACGCACGCGCGCGCGATCGTCCACCGCGTGCGATGCGCGCGCGCCGCTGGTGACGGCGCGCGCGCGGTGGGGGGGCACGACGACGCGCGCGCTCGGACGTACGCCCACGCGTCGGCGTCGACGTCGGTCGGGGCGAATGAGGGTGGGACGCGGGACGGCGCGCGGGACGGCGCGTGGCTCGCCGAGCGCAAGCGCTGGCGCGCCGAGGTGAACGCCGCGCGCCAGGCGTGGCGATCGGAGCGAGAAGCGCGAGCGAAGGCGACGATGGAGGTGGAGACGGCGGCGAGAGCGGTCGCGGCGACGGAGAAAGCGGAGCGTTTGGCTGAAAAGGCGCGCGCGCGGGCGGCGCGCGCGGGCGCGAGCGCGGGCGCCAGAGAGGAACGCGCGCGTCAACGCGAGCGAGAGACGCGCGTCATCGCGGGACGACGGCGCCAACGCGCGCACGCGATGTCACTGCGACGACAAGCGAGGGAGATCGATCTGTTGAAGGCGTCGCGCGGTTGGATCGAATCGACGGAGGAGCTCGAGCGGCGCGTACAGCGCGCCGTGGAGCGCCCCGAGCGACTCTTCAAGTGAGCGCCGCCTCGACGCCCGCGTCATCCGTCGTCGCTCGCGAACGATTGATATATACCGCGTCGTCATCCGTCGTCCGTCGTCCAGCGCCCTCGACGACGTTCACCGCGCCGGAGGTTCGCCCGCGGGCGACGCCGCTCGACCCGCGCGCGTCCGCGCCGCACTCGTCGACGCACCGCGCACGCGCACCGCACCGATGCCTCGCTCGACGCGCGCGCGCGTGATCTCTCGCGCGGTCGTCGCCGTGGCGTTCGCCGTCGCCGTTCTCGCGCGCCCGTCGCGCGCCACCGCGTCGGGATCGTCCAGATCGCCCGCGCGCGTGACGTGTGGCAGCGCGCTCAAGCTCGTGCACGGGGCGACGAAACACGCGCTGTCCTCGCAATCGGTCGCGTACGCCACGGGATCTGGACAGCAGTCGGTGACGGCGGTGCGATCGAGCGATGAGGGGGCGTATTGGATGATCGAGCCGGCGCTCGGCGGCGCGACGTGCGCGCGCGGAGAGGCGATCGGGCCGGGGATGACGATTCGGTTGAGACACGTCGCCACGCGCGCGTGGTTGCACTCGCACTTGCATCGATCGCCGCTGAGTGGGAATAACGAAGTGTCGTGCTTCGGTGGGGACGGGTCGAGCGACACGGGCGATCACTGGGTGGTGGAGCTCCCGAACGGCGGCGACGCGTGGGAACGCGGGAAAAAGGTGCGGCTGAAGCATAAAGATACCGGAGCGTATTTGAGCTCGCATAATATGAAGTATGGACGACCGATCGCGGGACATCAGGAGGTGATGGGGGCGGCGAGCCCGGGATCTAACGCGCTTTGGACGAGCGCGGAGGGCGTGTACTTTCCCACCTCGGAAGAGCAACGGGCGAAAGACGAGCTATAGACGCGCGCGCGAGGGTTGGGATTATTCTTTCTAATGATGAGTTCATGATTAATCGAGTAAAGTTCACGTGTCGTCTTCGACGCGATCATGCGGGAGGTAAAACTTGTTTTCTTCAACCTTCTTCGCGTCCACGTCGATGGCGCCGTCTGGATTTTCGCGCTTCGCTTGTTCCTCCTCCTCGTTGCCCGTGCGGTTGGTCTTTCGCGCACCCTTCTCCACGACGAAAACCGGCTTGGCGTTCTCTGGCTTGACCTTTTCCCCGATCCAAGCCTTCATGGAATTGAAACCAGCCTGCGCCGCGTCCTTGAGCTCTTCCTTGCTCTTCGCCGCTCGAAACTCCTTCACGATATTTGCGAGCGTGCCCTTGAGATCGATCGGTCGCAGCATGGCGTGAATTACCGCCACAACGCTGGTCCACATCACGCTACGCACGACCGCGTACGTGTTTGCCGTGGCGTCGGATAGCAAGAACAACACAATCGCCGACGCGAGCGTCACGCGACGCAGACGCTTGCGCGGGACGCCCGCCACCACCTCGGCGTTCCACTTGAGCGCCCCTCTCGTCCCGAGCTCGAGCTCGCCCAAGATTTTATCGCTCGTCGCCGCCAAGTGAACGTAAAACAGCGTCAACGCCAGCCCAAACGCCGCGCACTCGCATCCGATGAGAGCCGCCGCCGCCGCCATGACGAGATAATTCTGTCGAAATCGAACCGTATTCGCCTTCGCCCGCGCCAGCGCCTCCGCCTTACACGACGGAAAATTCAATCCATGACTCTCCACCTCCGTCGCGTTCACCGTCTCTCGATCGTTATCCACCTCCACGACGGCACCGATCGACTTCAACGCGAAGAACTCGCGCCACGTCGCCGCCGTCGCGTCCCACGGCGCCTCCGTCGCGCGCGCGAACCACTTCTTCACCGCCACCCCATCGAACGCGATCGTCACCTCCGAACCCTCGGGCGCGGGCACTGTGGACGATCGCGGTCGCGCCGTCCGTCCACGCGCGCGCGTCACCGCGCCCGTCGTCCGTCGCGTCGACGCCGTCGGCATCATCCCGACGCCGACGTCATCCCACCCTCGCGTCGCGCGTCGCGTCGCCCCGGTCGCTCGCGCCCCCACGCGCGCGCGCGCGCACACCCCCCCGCGCACCGCGCGCATGGCCACCGTCCCGCGCGCCCGTGCGCGGCGTCGCGCGCGGTCGATCGCGCGCGACGCCCATCGATCGATCGATGCCGACGCTCGAAAGGCATCGACCGGGTTCCCATCGAAAGGCGTCGACCGGTGCGCTCGCCAAATCGACCGACCCTCGTGCGCCTTTGAAAAAAACCAACCGCGGAAGACCAAACGTCAACGGTCGCGCGCGCGCACACGCGCGCGCGCGATGCGCGGGCGCGAGCTTCGGCTCGCCCTCGACGGGGCGACGATTGGAAAAAATTCCTCCGCATCGCGCGCGCTCGAGCTCGCGTGCGCGTACGACGGCGAGACGCGACGGGGGCGCGCGCGCGTGGACGACGGCGACGCCGCGGTGGGTCAACGGGACGATGGATCGTCGACGGTCGTGGGGTCGGAAGACGGCGCGGACGCGTTCGCGGGCGCGGGCGCGGGCGAGGTTGTGGTGTTTCGACGGACCGAGGGACGGGCGCGGACGCTCGCGCGGTCGAGGGCGCGGGTGATGATTGAGGCGCGAGACGGGCGCGGACGGACGCGCGCGCGCGGCGCGTGCGAGGTGGATATTGACCGCGATACCGTGGACGACGCGCGCGTGGTGGTGCTGCGCGCGCGGAATGGAACGATTTGGGGGGAGGTGCGGGCGCGGGTGACGACGCGGGCGATCGGTGGGGAGGGTGAAAGTCGGCGCGGCGCGCGCGAGAGTCCGCGCGCGCGGAGGACGCCGCGGACGAAGACGGAACCCACGGCGGTGGAATCGGACGACGAGGCGTTTTTACCCCCGTTCGAGAGCGAACGTGGACCGGGGGCGCGAGTGGGTGCGCGTGAGAGAGAGTTTGAGCTCACGGCGCGAGTGGAATCGTTCGAGCGCGTCGGCTCGAGCGCGACGTTTGACTTTCGAGCCGCCGTGGCGGCGAGCGTGGGCATGGATGATGTGCTTTCGAGCGAACTCGGCGTCGATCGCGCCAGGGGGGAGTATTTCGTGCGTACGGCGCCGAGCGTGCGCGCGGCGGCGCGCCCCGGGGACGTGGTCGTGTTTCCAAGCGGTGAGGACTCGGTGGGGTTCGCGTGCGCGCCGTCCGCGCTCGCGACGACCCTCTCGCGCAAACCGGCGCTTGTTCTTGAGGTTTGGTCCGTATTGGACACCAGTAAGACGGCGCGCGCGATTGTCGCGATCGATGAGTTGCTTCGTCGCCCGGAAGTGCGGTATAGGGTTGAGATGGTGGACGACGAAGGAGTCGTCGTCGGGCGCGTTCGATTGTACATCCGACTCGATGCGCGCGGATCGTCTAACGATCCGGCACCCGCCCCGTCGACGCCACCGCCGCCAGCGCGCAAGCCGACACCGAGAGCTTTATCACCCACGCCCGTGCCGAGCGCGCAGAAGCCTCCGGCACCGTCGTCAAAGGCGCAAACGCGTCACGTCGTCGCGCCGCCGCCGAGCGACGATCCACGGTCTGGGATCGAGTACAAGGTTGCGTACGATCTCGAGGTGTGGAAGCAACACCAGATGACAAAATTTTATGAAGAACTGCGATCTAAGGAGTCGGTGCGCATGAACATATTAGAGGACGAGTGGAAGCGTCACGAGACGAGGCGGATGAGAGAGGCGGAGGAGGCCGAGCACCGGACGCGCATATTGGAGAAGAAGCTGCACGAAGCTGCGATGAATCTGGAGTTGCGCGAGCGCAAGCTGATCGAGTTGGAAGAAAACTTCGACCACAGAAAACACAAGCTTGAACGCGAGACGGCGGCGGCGCGCGAGGAGGCAAAAGACGTGGTGCGGCGCAATCAGGAGGCGTGCGATCATCGTGTTGAGATGGAGAAACAAAAGGCTCGTGAAGCCGTTCGCGAGCGCGACGCGTTGCACCGTCGATTGGAGCAGACAGAGGCACAACTCATGGAAGTACAATCTGCATTCGCGACGCACAAGAAGGCGCAACTTGAGACGAACGAGGCCACGTTGCAGGCTGAAATCTCTCGCTTGATTCCTCGCTGCGAAGCAGCCGAGTCTCAAGCCAACGAGGAGGCTGAATCAAAAGAGAGATACAAAGGGCAACTGACGAAAATGGCTCGACAAGTCGTCGCTCTTGAGCGTGAACGAGCACATTTACGTCGAGCCGTAGAGCGCGCGGGCCTAAACGTGACGAACAGGATGCAAGTCGCGCCGAGCGCGAACGAGTTCATGAGCGAGATGCTCGCCGGAGAGACCGGCGACGCGGACGCGTTCATGAGCTCCTTCAGGGCGGATATCGCGGCCGCATCGGGACCAAACGCTTTCTCCAAGGGCGCTTTCGCGCGCGTTGCACCTCGACCGACAGAGCCCTCTCGCGCGCCACTATCGCTGAGACCAGATCGAACGCAGGACCACGATGCTTCTGAGCCGTCTCGTCCTGTTGAAGATTTAGAAAACAGACCGCCACCGCCAAAATTTGTGCCCATCGAGGCGACGCTCAATGAGAAGCGCGCGGCAGAGAAAGAGGTCAGGCGTCTCGTTGCGGAACGAGGAGATTTGATGCGCACGGGCATGTACGGAAGCGGCGACAAGATAATCGCGCTCATTGACGAGCGCATAGAGGAACTCACGGACAGAATAGCCAGCGTGTGAAAGACGAAATTACTAACCGCCGCGATGTCCTCCATCTCCCCAACGGGCGCGTTGATGTCTTTGGCGATCTAATATATTGCCTACTACACTATTCAACTGTTACGACGACTTTCCCGGTGGTTTGGCCCGTTTGGAACAAACGCATCGCCTCTGGTAAATCGGTGAAGTTGAAAGTCGCTCCGACTTTCGGCGCCGGTAAATTCAACGCGTTGAGCTCTGCCAACAGTCTCGCGAGCTCTTCTTGTTTGTCGAATTGCCAGATCAAATTGAAGCCTAAGATACCTTTGTTCTCACCCGGAAGCATGAGCGGATCCACTTTCTTACGTCGTAAGAATTTCCACGCCAGCTTGACCCAACCTACGACACCGATCGAATCGCCTCGTGGTGTCAAATCCGCGGCACCGTAAACCACATAACGTCCGCCACGCGCCAAGTTATCCCATCCGCCCTGGAAGAAATCACCGAGCGTTGCATCGAACACGATATCACAACCTTCAGACGCGCCGATGGAGTCACACGCCTCCTTCACCTGTTGCTTGAATCGTTTGCGATCTCGCACGATTACGGCTCTGAGCGACGGAAAACGCTCCTTCAGCGTCTCCTCCTTCCCAGCGTTCCCGATCACCGCGATCGGCTCCGCGCCGACAGCTTCACAAATACCCAACGACATCAACCCACATCCGCCCGCGGCACTGTGCACGAGCACCGTGGAGCCACGTTTGACGTCGCCGAGCGCTCGCAAGCCGTAATACGACGTCAACCCCTGTACCAAAAATCCCGCGCCCTCTTCAAAGGTCCATCCGTTTGGAAGTGGACGCATCTGCGTCATCGGTACCGCCACCTCATCCGCGAACGCACCGAACCGAACGACGCACATGACCTTATCGCCGACGTGAAAGTCCCCAGCGTATCCGTTCGGGAGCTCGACGATTTCGCCCGAGCATTCCAGCCCCGGGACGAACCGCCCCTTTGGCGCCGCCGAATACAGCCCCAGCGCGGTGAAGACGTCGGCAAAGTTCAACCCGATCGCCCGCACGCGCACGCGGCACTCGTCGGGGTTTAAAACGACGGACGGGACGGTGTTGAGCTCGAGGTTCTTGAGCGAGCCTTTACTCGAGATCTCCCACGCGCGTCTTGTCGCGCTCGCCGACGCGGTGGTGACGCGCGCGGACGAGGAGCGCGTACCCATTCGTCGCGTGCGCTTTGGCGGGGGCGACGCGGCGCGATTGGAACGAGCGGCACCTCGCATGACGCTCAACCGCTCGCGTCGCAAAGTGTGGGGACGGCGACGGTCGTCGACTCGATGTCGATCGTCGGTAACGCGCTCGATCACGCGTCGTCCGGGCGTTTCAGCCATTTCGTGCGCCATCGGGATCGAAGTTCGCGTCGGAAGTCGCCGTAGGTTGCGAAACCGTTCGGGGCGACTTCGGCGCGCCACTTTTCTGAAATCGCGTCTCGCACGCTCGGCGGGAGCTCGCGAGAGCCATCGCCGACCGCGCCGCCCCCATCGCGAACCTTACCGACCGTAAACGTCGTTCCCTCCATTCCCATCTGCTTCGCCACCTTTTCCCGGACGAAATGATCGTCGAACTTCGTATTGTTACGCATGTACTCGAATCCCGAGCGCTCGAGGACGAGCGCGCGCGCGTCGTCGTCGAGCTCGATTCCCATGAACGCCGACACCGCGTCCACGACGTCCCCGAGATTTTCCTTCATATCCTCAAAGCAAAACATGATCACGTTCTCCGGATCGCGCTCGAGCGCCTTCCACCAACTCACGTAGTGCGCCGCGAATCCGCCGCTGTGCGACGCCCCGGCGAACACCGCCTCCGCGAACGCCTCCTTCTCGATCACCCCTCGCTCTATCCCGCAGTACGCCGGCAAAAACTCATAAAACGAATGAAACACATCGCACGGTTCCCGCACGACGACGACGTAGCGCCCACCGCTCGCGATCGTATCCGCCCGTTCGTGCGACTTGAA